ACACTTCTTTCAGACTCCTGGCCTCCTGAACTGAGAGAATACATTTCTGTTGTTTTAAGCAGAGTGGTACTGGGAAACTAATACATAGTTATGTCTCATTAGCCTTGTCTTGACTCTGATATTTTCTCAAACTTGCCTTGTTTTTTATTTCTTTGAGAGTTTTGAGGACTCATCAGGCATTTTGTAGAATGTTTCCAAACTGGGATTTGTCCGATGTTATTCTCATGTTTAGGCTGGAATTATGTGTTCTTGGGAGGAAAGGGACAGAGGTAAAGTGCCATTTTCATCATTTCTTATCGGGGTATTTACCATCAGTGTGACTCATCATTGTTGATGTTAACCTTGTTCACCTGACTGAGGTCAGATTTCATGACTATGAAGTTATTCTTTTTCCCTTGTTACATAATGCAGTCTTTGGAGGGAAGTTACTATGCAGACAATAAGGAGTGCTGAGCTTCAACTCTCTTAAAGTATAGTTGTCTTGAGGTGCCTGGGTGGCTCAGTTGAGCATCCAACTCTTGATTTTGGCTTAGGTCATCATCTTGAGGTTGTGGGATGGAGCCCCGTGTCTGGCTCCTCACTCAGCAAGGAGTCTTCTTGAGATTATCTCTCTCCCTCTGACTATCCCCCTTGGCTCTCTCTCAAATAAATAATTTTTTAAAAAAATAAATAAAATTGTATTAAATATGTTTTCTACATACATACACTGAGCACCATATCAGATGGTGCTATTTTTACTTCAACCATCAAAAATGATTTAAGAAATACATAAGAAGCAGGATAATCAATTATAGTTACCACTATTTTCCACCCATTCTGATATTCTCCTTTCCTTTGATGTTTCAGGCCTTTGTTATCATTTTCTTTCTATTTACAGAACTTCCTTTTTATCCATTCTTTATGGGTAAATTTGTTAGCAACAAAATCCTTTAATTTTGCTTGACCCAACAATGTCTTCATTTCCCCTTCATCCTGGAAAGATGTTTTTTGCATGACACAGAATTCAAGGTTAACAGTTTTTTTTCTTTCAGTACTTGGAAAGATGTTATGCCACTTCCATCTGGTTTCCAGGGTTTCAAGTGAGAAATCCACTGTGATTGTAATTGATGTTCCCTATAAGAAAGGCACTGCTTCTCTCTGGGTGCTTTTAAGGTTTTCTTCTTCCTTTTTTTAAAAAAGATTTTATTTACTTATTAATGAGAGACACACACACACACACACACAGAGGCAGAGACACAGGCAGAGGGAGAGGCAGGCTCCTTGCAGGGAGCCCACTGTGGGACTTGATCCCAGGACCCCAGGATCATGACCTGAGCTGAAGGCAGACGCTCAACCACTCTGCCTCTCAAGGGTCCCAAGGTTTTCTTCTTTGTCTTTAATTTTTTACAAGTTTAATTATGTTGTTTCGGAAGGGATTTCTTTGGTTTGTCCTATTTGGGTTCACTTAGTTTCTTGAATACATAGGTTTATACCTATTGCGAAGTTGGAAAGTTTTCAGTCATTATTTATTCAAGTACTTTTTTAGTTCCTCTCTGTTTTCTCTACTTTTGGTACTGCACTGATGCAGTACCATGCATTACAGCCCATGAATCCCTGAGACTATATTCACTTTTTTGGGTCGGTCTTCTTTCTGTTATTCAGAGTAAATAATGTTATTGGTATGTCTGCAAGTCTACGGACTATATCCTCTGTCATCTTCACTCTACTAATGAGCCCATCTAGGGAGTTTATTTCAGTTATTCTTTCAGTTCTATAATTTTCATTTCATTTTAACTTCTTTTTGTTTGCTGAGATTTTTTATTTTTTCATTTGTTTCAAGAGAATTCATAATTGCTTGTTGAAGCTTTTTTTTGTGATGGTTGCTTTTGTCAGATAATTCTAACATTTGATTCAATTTAGCACTGGCATTTCTCAATTGTCTTTTCTCATTCTTATCGTGATTTTCCTGGTTTTAGTATAATGAGTGATTTTGTATCATATTGCAGACACTTTGGATATCATGAGACTCTGAATCTTATTTAATCATTTTTTGGCAGGAACTCCTCCTGGTGAAGTTTGGCGCAAGGTCTGGGTGGGTGTGTATGTTCAGCTCTTTGCTGGACCCCACCGCCACCTGCCCAGTGAAAGTGGGACACCAACTGGCACTACTTTGCTGCCTTGGATTGGGGGTATAAGATCAGCTCCCTGCTAGGCTCTGCTGCCACCAGGGAGAGGAAACAGAAGGTTGACTCATGCTTCTTTGTTGCTGTTGGGTAAGATGCTCTTCACTGTGCCTTACTGACTCTGAGGGTGGGGTGAACCTAGTGGATAACTGCCTTGAACGGATTTATTAGGTCTCACTGCTGCTGGGTGAAGGAAACTCAGCTAGAGGCAGGACCCTTCTGACACTATCGTGGTTGGGAACTGAATCACCACCTGATTCTGTTGGGTGGGGCATGTAGATCAGTTGCCTGCTTGGTTCCACTGAAATCACAGGCGTAGTCGTGTGTTTTCCTGTTGGTGTTTGGTTGCAGTAGGGCAAACATTGCCAAAATGTTTTTTTGTGGTTAGGCTACCTTCTCTTCAGTCCCTTGGATGGGGAAACAGGCTCTCTAAAGCTCATTTATGGTCTGTGCCAATGCCAGTTTGAAGGTTTCCATAGCACCCTGTCTAGACATATAGGAGACAATAAGGAAACCCAGGAACTCACCACCATGTTTTTTCACAGGTCTGATATCCCTAGGCAGTCAGCACTTGTCTCTCTACCTTTCAGAGTCTTCCTGTGCTTGTCATTATATTATGTCCAAAGAGTTTTAGTCGTAACAGGGAGGACCTGGGAAGAATGGGACTTCTTTCTCTCTTTTTTTTTTACATAAACAGAAGAGGTGGTTAGGAGTCAGAAAATAAACATCTAGTGAAACAGGCACAGATGTACCAACTTACAACTAAACTTAAATTGGCCACAGTTCTAACTAGTTAAGAAAATGGACTGGACATCTTCTGAAGTTCATAAAAAGGATTTGCATCTACCTATAGTCACTGATTCTAATTTATTTTTATTAGAAACACTTTTATTCTACAAAAGGTCTACATCAGAGTGTAAAGGCAGTTTTCTCACACATTTGACTAGTAATCTACTCAATGTTCACATCCCCCCAGAGGAATTCAAAGTCTATTACTGCTTAGTGGTAACTACTTATAGTGTCTTAGCAGCAGAGAAAAGTTAAGTTTTCAGGGTTCCTCTTGGTCCCTGCCTACTCTATTCTTTTCTTTTTTATGTAAATATATATATATATATATATATATACACATATGTATATTTAGAGAGAGATAAAGAGAACATACAAAATATGCACATATTATAAGAATACTTGAAGAATTTTCACAAAGTGAATATACCACATAACCAGCCCCCATAAGCTACTATCATGGCTTCTTAATCACTATCCCTTCCACCCTCACAGAAAAGCACTACTCTGGCTTCTAACACCATAGATTATTTTTATTGGCCATTCTTGTTTTTTTTAATTGAAATATTTTTACTGAGATAGTGGTAGATTCATATGTAATTGTAAGAAATAATATAGAAAATTTCCTCATACTCTTTGCCCATTTCTCCTCAAATGGTAACATTTTATACAAATACAGTATAATGTCACAGTTAAGCATATTGACATTAATGATACACCTATCCTATTTAGATTTCCGACTTTACTTGTACTCATTTTTGTGTGTATTAAGTTCAATACAACTTGTATAGGTTCTTTGATCTACCATTAGAGTTAAGATACTGAGCAACTCCTACATTGCCAGGTCCTTGTGTTACCCTTTTATGAAGGGTACCCATCTCCCCTCCCCCCACAATCTCCTCTCCCCAGCTTCTAGCAACTAGTAACCTACCCTCCATTTCTAAAATTTTGTCACTTCAAAATGTTATATAAATGGATTCTTACAGTACATTATCTTCTGCAATCACCTTTTTCCCCCCTCAACATGGGTACTCCTTTTTAACATGATTGGAAGATTTCTCTTTAAGAATATTTTAATCATTTAATTATTTCTAGGCACCTGGATGGCTCAGTTAAGTGTCCGACTCTTGATTTCAGTGAGGGTCATGGTCTCAGGGTTGTAAGATCAAACCCCATGTTGGGGCTTAAGCATAGAGTCTGCTTAAGATTCTCTCTCTCTTGGGACGCCGGGTGGCCAGTGGATGAGTGTCTGCCTTCAGCTCAGGGCGTGTTCCCCAGGTCCAGGATCGAGCCACACATCAGGCTTCCTGCAAGGAGCCTGCTTCTCTCTCTGCCTATGTCTGTCTCTCTCTCTCTCTCTCTCTCTCTCTGACTCTCATGAATAGATAAATAAAATCTTAAAAAAAAAAGGCTCTCTCTCTCTGCACCTGTTCTCTAATGGAAGGATTTAAACTAGTACTTCTCATGCTTCTCATCTTTCAAAAATCTCAGGGCAAATATTTATCCCTGAATAAGCATGCCTACAGAAAAATTATCCTGATTGAGGCTGTTTCAAGGTGACTTATGGCACATGACTTATTTTTTTTGTAAATAAAAATCTGATCCCAAGATTTATTAGTAGTATGTTTCAAGGAAAACAATGGCTATAATGTCTATTTAACTATGTAAACTTTATCTGATCTATGCATGTTGAAGCCCAATGAAGCCTGGAATGGTATTCCACGTATCTCTAAAACTAACTTGCTATATTTTTTTATTCTAATAAAAAGTAAAACTCGTGGAGTAAATGAAACCACCAAGATAGAAGATATCTATTAGGAATCCTATTTGTAGAAATTTCTTTAAAAAGAAAAAAAAAAACAAATACCTTTGTTATCAACAATTCTACAATCTACCTAATCTCTTTCTCTACTTTGACTTCCTTTACTGGTAGTCTCCAAAGTAACGCGTCCTAACTTTTCAAAAAGGCCAACTTTGTAAATGCCTAGAAAGTTATTCATCTAATAAAAGATCTCCTTCCTTGTACAAAGACATATATTCACTTTTACTCACCTGTTCTCATATTGAAATTTTGCCAGTATGTCTTTGGCTTTGGTGTGACTAGTGAGTTGAATGGCCATGGACACCTTAGAGAGAAGTGGAGCATGGACCCTTATGACTCCTTCCGGCACGTCAGACTGCCAATGGGGAAAAATTCAGTACATTCTGTCAAACTAGGATGAATATCACTTTAATGACTACACTTAAGAGATATGAAAATCAGTGGCAATGTGAATTAGGAAAACATGTAAATGTGACCAGTATTTAACCAGAATGAAATACTGCTTTCTTTTCAAAGGAAGATACACTAAACTTAACCTGGGACTTTACTTTTGTTACATACTTAGGCCCTGTATAATGCCTTAAAATAACCAGAGAAGTAGCACTATGTTATGACAAAATCTCATGTTTCTATCAGTTCATTTTCTTGACTGTGCCCTAAAATAAGCTTACTTTACGTTGAATTCTGTATTTCAGTATATTTTAAGATCAACCTTCTCAAAGAGTTAAGAACCAGTTATAAAATATAGCTTTTTAAATATCCTTTTTCTTTAGTTAGTAACAATGATTGGTGGGCCCAAATTGAATTCCAAATGAGCATTTAGAACTTGATTCCTCAAAGTGTATGATAACACCCTGAAGAGCAGCATATGGACTTCTGAGTACCTCTGCTTTCATATGACAAGACGGGCCTGCAGACCTACCTTGGAGCTCTTGTTCAATGAAATAGAATGGCATCATCTAATTAACAGGAATTTCTTTTGTCAAGATTGACTGGGAAATTCCTTTTGTTTCCAAATTTTGAATATTTTAAAATTAATTATCTATCTAGATATGAAAAGAAATAAATTTCTAAAAAAAAAGAAAGAAATTTCTATCTGAGGATCTGGCTAAGTTCTCAGATAATCATTTTAAATTTGAACATTCTCAAAGGATAGCATTGTTAATGTAGAAGGCTTATGTTGTTGAATTGACTCAATATATACCCTAAAAGGAATATGTTATAGGTTGAACTGTGTCCCCCCAAAGGATATGTTGAAATTCTAACTACCAGTAGCTGAGAATATAACTGTATTTGGAAATAGGGTCATTGCAGTTGTAATTAGCTCAGATGAGGTCATAATGGAGTAGGGTGGACATACATCCAATATGGCTACCGTCCTTATAAGAGGAGAAGACACACAAACACACAAACAATGTGTAAAGATGGAGGCAGAGATTGGAGTGATACATCTACAAGCTAAGGAATATCAAGAATTGGCGACATCACCAAAAGCTAGGAATGATGTAAGGAACAGATCCTTCTCTCACAGTCTTCAGAAGGAACTAGGCAGACACCCTGATTTCAGACTTTTAGCCTGCATAATTGTGAGAGAATAAATTTCTAATATATTAAGCTATCTAGTTTGTCATACTTTGTTACAATAGCACTAGAAAACATTTTAAAATAGAATCAGTTATTATGGTACTTTCTGCTATCACCAGTAAGAACCAGAAGAGCATGCCAAGGAATGGATGTTGGTGGGAGGGTGGACTGGGTGGTTATGGGGGGGGGTGTTGTACAGAGTGTCCCTGGGTCATTGGAACCAAGACTATGCTCCTAAAACACTCTTTCGGTCATTTCATGCCCCTCCTCTTCCAGCCCTCCAGAAGTCTCTGTAAGATATTATGATCACTTTCCTGTGATCATAATAATCACATTTTCCCTGCAAATTCCTACAGTATTCATAATTGCTTACAGGCTGCCTAACCATACATTTTGAGTCATCAGTTAGTTGACTCTCTCCCTATACTATTTCTTCATGTGCCACATGAAATATCAAGTTTAAAGGATATATCACGACCAAAATTATGCACATACTATGGTAGATAAAGCCAGAGAATACCATATAAGGAGTTAATAAGAGAGGAAAGGAAATTGTTTTCTTACCATTCTTCTTGAAGAGGGTGATTTTTGTAGTACCTTTGAAGTCTTGGGGCTTATAACCTACATAAAACACATTTAGTCCTCAGTAATGATTAATGTTGGGAAAATAAGCACATGCTTCCATTGGAAGTGTAAACTGTTACAATCTTTATGGAAAACATTTTGAAAATATTTATCAAAGTATAAAATAATCCAACAATGCCACATCTGTAAGTTTATCCTACTGTGGTAAATAGCATATATGCAAGTTTGTTCACTAGTGCATAAATCTTAATAGCAAGAGACTTTTGGACACAATCCAACTCTGTAAACTGATAATGGAATAATGATATAGAATAATCACCATGATTTTTTAAGTCAGTAAAGCAAGACACACAGGACAGTATTTAATGTATGTTACCATTCATGCAATAAAAGGGAAAAGAACACTGTCAAGAGTTTAGGTCAGCGACACTCCATGGTGTTGCTACTGACAAACTTTAAATTCTACCTTTTTCATATCTCTATGATGCAACAACAAAAAAATTGAAATAGCTGACATTCATTTAGCATTATACAACTTACAAAGTGCTTTTACACATGGTAAGTGAGTTGATGCTAAAGACAACCCTGTGAATTAGGTTGGGGAGAATTACTTTTCTCCCCAATTTATAATATAAGAAAATTGAGGCACAGAAAAAGGCTTTAATCCACCAAGGCTACTAGCCAAAGGATGTGACCAAAGGAGTGCTTAAGTAACAAAAACAGCTAAATCTTGGTTAGAACAGCAAATCTAGTAGCACTTAAACTTACACTTCTCCAAGGATACCTGGGTGGCTCAGTTGGTTAAGCAGCTCTTGATTTCAGCTCAGGTCATGATCTCAGGGTCATGAGATTGAGCCCGGTGTCAGGCTCCACACTCAGCAAGGAGCCTGCTTAAGGATTCTCTCTCTCCCTCTGCCCCTCCCCTCACTCATTCTCTCTCTCTCTCTGTCTAAATAAATAACTAAATCTTATACTTTTCCCATCTCTGCTCCCTAGTTCAATGCCAGGTTTGAAAAAAGCAGCCTGCATTTCTGGTACAGGTCGAGGAAGGAGCAGAATGACTAATTCCTTGTTCTGACCTGGTTGGTGGCTCCGTAGAATACTGGCTCAGAAGGCCTGCCTCTATCTTGGACTAACTTGGAATCTGACTAGTGCTAAAGTGGTATGATGTTGAAAACATTTATAGGCAAATGATTTAGCCATCAACACCTGATGTAGTAGATAAAAGCTGGAGAAAACAACAGACTAAAAAGTTTGAGAGGCAAGGCTGGAGATTGAGATGCTTTGGAGAATAAGGCTTTGAAAAGCTCCAAATATTCCTAAGACTCTAGAAAGCCAGATGCATGCCCAAGGCTATGCATGTGTTCAAAAAAGACCTGAAAAGAACTTAACCTGTCAATTTAAGCTGGCTGACTTTTGGGCTTTGTCCAGGCAGGAAGTGAAGGTTCAGGCAGAGTCATAAACTGTCCTACTGAATGCTGAAGTTGCACCCGAACAAACACAGACTTTGTCTGCAAAGACCGGGAGTTTTTTTGTTCAAGATTTTTAAGAAAGTTTCTGTGCAAACATTAGCTAACCACTGAGCTCATGGAGCAGAGATTTCAGTGGCCACGCAAAACAAAGAATTCAAACTTTATAAAATTAGCTCAGCAGAAAAGTAATTAAACAAATAAAAGCTACAACAAGCAGCAACAAACCCTGGGAGAGGGAGAAGAATCTTTTTTCCAAAATTGTCACATTATAATATTTAAAATGTCCATTCAGGGATCCCTGAGTGGCTCAGTGGTTTAGCACCTGCCTTTGGCCCAGGGTATAATCCTGGAGTCCCAGGATTGAGTCCCACATCGGGCTCCCTGCATGGAGCCTGCTTCTCCCTCTGCCTGTGTCTCTGCCTCTCTCTCTCTCTCTCTCTCTCTCTCATGAATAAATAAATAAAATCTTTAAAAAAAAAAGTCCATTCTATAACAGCAAAAAAATTACGAGACAGGCAAAAAATGTCAAGAATATGTGGCCCGTGCACAGGGGAAAAAAAAGAGCTTCAATAGTTTCAAAAGAAACTCCTGAAGGAAGTTTAGACATTAAACTTACTAGAAAAAGCCTTCAAATAAGATATTTTAAATAGTTCAAAGAACTAATGGAAACCATGTTTAAAGAACTAAAGGAAACCATGAGAATTATATCTCACCAAATTGGGAATATCAAAAAAGAGACAAATTATAAAAAGGAATCAAATGGGAATTCTGGATTGAAAACTTAATAAAAAATAACTTAATAAAGTTAAGTTTAAGTTTAAGTTACTAAGTTTAAGTTATTAAGTTATCCAACTTAAATAAAAAATCTACTAAGAGGGTTTATAGCAGATAAGGAGGCAGAAGAAAAAAATTAGTAAATTTGAAGATAAATTGATTGAGATTATGTGGTCTGAATATCAGGAAAAAAAAGAATGAAGAAAAATTAACAAAACCTAAGAGGAACTGTAGGATAATATCCAACATGAAATGCACCAACACATACATAATTAAGAGTCCAGGGAGAAGAAAAGAGAAAGGGACAGAAAGAATATTTTAAGAAATAATGGCTGAAAACTATCCACATTTGCTGAAAAACATTGATTGACCTATTCAAAAAGCTCAACAAACTCCAAATAGATTAAACTTAAAGACATCCACACCAAGATACATCATAATCAAATTTTCAAAAGACAAAGAATTTGAATGAAGCAAGAGAAAAGCACCTCAGCATGCACAAGAGATTGTTTCAATAAGAGTAACACCTAGTTTCTCAGCAGAAACCATGAAAACCAGAAGACAATGGAATGAGACATAATCAAAGGGCTGAAAGAAGAATAAAAGCTGTCAAGCAAAATTCTATCTGGCAAAACAATCTTTAAAAAATAAAGAGGCCTTCTAGATGCCACCACCTCAGAGCTACCTGTCCCCCCCAGTCATGGTGAACCCCTTCATGTTTTCAATAGTCCCTTCAGGCTAAAATGGAGGGATGCTAGACAGTAACTTGAATCCACATGAAGAAATAAAGGACACCAGTAAATATAACTACATAGGTAAATATAAAAGGCACCATTATGTGTTTTTCCCCATCTAATTTAAAAGACAAGTGCATAAAGCAATAATTATAAATCTATATTGATGGGCACAAAATTAATTAATAAAGATGGAATTTGTAGCAATAACAGCATAAAGTAGGAGATATGGAGGTCTGTAAGTAGATTTTTTTAAGGGTTTTATTTATTTATTTGATACACAGAGAGAGTGTGCATAAATAGGAGAAATGGCAGGCAGAGGGAGAAGCAGGCTCCTCACTTCAGGGAGCCCAACATGGGGCTCAATCTCAGGACCCTAGGATCATGACCTGAGCCATAGGCAGATGCTTAACCAACTGAGTCTCCCAGGTATCCCTGTAAGTAGAGTTTTTATATACTATTGAATTGAAGGTGAAATTAATATGAATCAGATTGCTATATATTAAGATGTTACTTGTAATCCCCAGGGGGACCACTAAGGAGAGAATTTAAGAATGTGTAGTAAAAGAAACAACTGTTTCTTTCAACAAAAATATATGATAAAATATTAAAAGTAGTATACTGGAAAATAACTACACAAATTAAGGTAGTAATGGAGGAGTTGTGGAATAAAAATAATATTAGACATATAGTAAAAAAGAATTGAAGGGAAAAATAGTTCTGCAACAGCTAGAGACTTCAATATTTTGATACCTCACTTTCAATAACAGATGAGCTAGGCAAAAAATCAGTGAGTAACCAGAAAACTTTATCTAGACATAATAGACATCTATAGCAGAGTTCATTACCATTAAGCATGCATAAAACATTTTTCAGGATAGACAATATATTAGGCCACAAAATGAGTTTCAATTAATTAAAAAATATCAAAATAATATTGGGGCATCTGGGTGGCTCAGTCAGTTGAGCATCCGACTCTTGATTTTGGCTCAGGTCATAATCTCAGGGTTGAGAGATCGAGGTCCCCACTCGGGGGCGGGGAGTCTACTTGAGATTCTTTCCCTCCCCACCCCTTGTAAAAATAAATAAATAGATCTTTAAGAAAAATTTTGAAAATCAAAATAATGTAAAGTGTATTGTACACCTACAATAGAATTAGATTAGAAATCAGCAACAGAAGTGAACCTGGGAAATTCACATACATATAGAAATTAAATAAATAATGAACAGGTCAAGAAAAATTAAAGAACACTTTGAGATGGGCAAAAATGAAACACAACATACCAAAACCTATGGGACAGAGCAAAAGTAATTCTCAGAGGAAAATTTATAGATGTAAAGGTTTACATTAAAAAAAAAAAGTCTAACCTTCTACATTGAGAAACTAAAGAAAAAGGCCAACTGACTTAAAACAAGCTTAACAAAATAAATAAAAGTTATAACTTTAATAAGTACTAGGATAGAAAAATAATAAAGAGAATCAATGAAACAAAAGTTGGGCTTTCAAAAAAAATCAACAAAATTGACAATGTTTTAGCTAGACTGACAGTGAAAAAAAGAATGCAGATTCAAATTATAAATCCAGAATGTAAGTGGGGACATTACTACCAATATTACAGACATAAAAAGAATTAAAAGAGAACACCATGAACAATCTGTGTGCCAACAAATTAGATAACCTAGATGAAACAGACAAAATCTAGAAACACACAAACTATCAATGCTGGCTCAAGAAGAAACAGCAAATCTAAACAGAGTTATAGTAAATAAGAAGACTGAGTCAGTATTCAAAAAAAATTCCTACAAAGAAAAGTCCAGGACCAGTTGGTTTTGCTGGAGAATTCTGCAAATTTAGAGAATTAACACCTATTAATTTTAAACTCTTCTAAAAAACAGAAGAGAAAGGAACACTTCCTGGCTCATTCTATAAGGCCAGTATGTTCAATACTAAATGCAGACAAGATGGAACAAAAAATAAAAGCTATAGTCAATATCCTATATTAATAAAAAAAATCTTATATGAATGTTGATATATTGATATAAAAATCCTCAACAAAATACAAGCAACTTGCCTAGCAGCATATTAAAAGGATTGTATACCTTGGCCAAGTAGGATTTATTCCAAGAATGCAGGGTTAGTTTGATATATGAAAACCAATCAGTGTAGTACATCATATTAATAGAATGAAAGGGGGAAAAAAACCCCCAATGATTATCTCAATAGATGAAGAAAGAATATTTGACAAAAACTGAACACCCTTCCAACATAAACGCACCCAGCAAATTAAGACCAGAAGAGAGTTTTTTTGAGGCCCGTCTATATTAACGGCAAGATTTTGAGGGCATAATGCCAAGTGAAATAAATCAGACAGAGGAAGACAAATATTGTATGATCTGTCTTATATTTGGAATCTAAATTATGTCTATATTTATATATCTCAGCTCATAGATACAGAAAACTGGTGGTTGCTGTGGTGGGGAAGGGGGTACAGTGGGGAGAAATGAGTAAACTTTTTTCTTTAAGTTTATACAAATTGAATTTTAAAAAGTAAAAAAAAAAAGAATGGAATTTTCTCAAGTCAATATGTGAAAAACACAGATTTAACATCATACTTAATGATGAAAGATTGAGATTTCCCCTTAAGATCAGGAACAAAATAAGGATCTCTGCTCTTGTCTTATTTAATATACTGCCAGAGTTCTAGCCAGGATAATTAAGCAAAAAAAGTAAAAGGTACCCAGATTGAGAGGGAAGAAGGAAAATTATCTCTATTCACTGACAGCATGACCTTATAGGTAGAAATCCTAAAGAATTAACAGACATAAAATCAAACTATTAGTGTCAGTAAATGAGTTTAGCAAAACTGTAGAATACAAGATCAATATAGAAATATCAGTTGTATTTCCATTAGTGATTGAAAAATGAAATTAAGAAAACAATTCCAATGCAAGAATATAAAAAAGAATAAAATACTTAGGAATAAATGATTAATCCAGGAAATATAAAACTTGTGCATTGAAAATTATAGAACAAGGTTAAAAGAAATTATAAATTATAGAAAACCTACATAAATGGGACAATAATCCATTTTCGTGGACTAGAAAATGTAGTGTTAAGATGGCAATACTTCCCAAAATCATGCACATATTTATGGAATCCCTATCAAAATTGCAACAACTGTTGTTGTTTCTGCTGCTGTTGTTTCAGAAATAGGAAAACTGGTCCTAAAATTCATATGGAAATTAGGGAGCCTCAAATAATCAAAGCTATTTCAAAAAAAAATGTTGACTCTCCTTTTTCAATTTCAAATCTTAAAACAAAAGTTACTGTATTCAACACAGTGTGTTACTAACATAATGATAGACATAGAAACCAACAGAAGAGAATTAAGTCTGGAAAAAAAAACTATACATCTATGGTCAATTTTCAACAATAGTGCCAATACCATTCACTGGGGAAAGTAGTGATGAAATAGTGATAAGTGATAAGTAGTGATCAAATGATGATAAGGGATTTGTATCTAATATATATGAAGAACTCTTACAATTTAACAGTAAAAAGATAACCCAATCAAAACTTCGCAAAGAATCTGAATAGACAATTCTCTGAGGAAGACATAAAACTGGCCAGTAGGTACATGAAAAGATGCTCAACATCAATAGTTTTCAGGGAAATGCAAATCAAAACTACAGTAAGACACAACTTTACAGCAAGAGGATGGTTAGAATGAAAATTTCCAATCATAACAAGTTCTGGTGAGGATATGGAAAAATCTGAATCCTTACACACTACTGGTGAAAATGTAAAAATGGGACAGTTGCTTTTGAAAACAGTCTGGCAATTTTCAACATATGTGTTGCTTTATTACCCAGCATATAGCCAAGAGAAGTAATAACATATTTCTACACATAAATATAAATGTTTATAGGAGCGTTATCCATAATGAGTAAAAGATATAATTAACCCAAATGTCTACTAATAAATGAATGGATAAAAAGTATGTGGAAATTCATATAAGGGAATGTTATCTGGCAAAAAAAAAAAAAAAAAAAGTACTGATACACATTAAGACTTGGATGAACCAAAAAAATATAATGCTAAATAAAATAAACCAGTCACAGAAGACCACATATTATATGATTTAATTCATTAAAAGTCCAAAACAAGGAGCTCTATAGAGACAGAAATTGATAAATTGTTGCTTAGAACTGGTAGAAGGAAATGGTGAAGGTGTGTTTAGAGGGATGATAGCCAAAGGGAATAGTTTTTTTTTCAGGTGATAAGAATGTTCTTAACTTGATTGCACTGATGACTGCAAATATCTCTGAATATACTAAAAACCATTGAATTGTACACATTAAATAAATGAATTGTATGATATGAGGATTATATATCAATTACGTTTTTTTAAAAAATGAGTTTTTTCTCAAAGCAATATTTCTTCCAAATTATAATGCTGATTCTACTTATTCTGAAGTCATTTTGCCTATAATCAATAAAGGAATAGTCTCATCATGATTATGATCATTATGATTACGATAGATCAATTAGCAATACTTGAGAATATTGCTCACTGCCTTGCCATTTACTGTTCCTTTCCCTGGATAAACTTTTTCCTCCCTTCTCCCTTCAAAATACTATCCATCCTTCACGATGTAGCTCAAACACTACTTCCTTCATGAAGGTGTCCACAACTCTCCAAGTTGGAACACACTTCTTTCTCATCTGCATGGTCCTGCCATATGGTCCATACAACTGGTCTAATGCTTAATGCATATTCATGGTTCTTGTATACATTTCTCTCCCACATTATGTGGAAATTCCTTTAAGAGGAAAGCAAATTTCATTTATCTCTACATCCTCCTCAGGGACTGTTTGATACTCATGATCTTCCTCAAATTAAATTAAAGCAATAAAGATAATTTTTCTAAAACCTGTTCCCTCTTTCAATGCCGCACAAACTATGATAAAGCAAAAATTCTTTGGAATGCAATGAATTTACACTAAACACCTTGAAATTAAAAATAATAAATAAATAAATAAATAAATAAATAAATAAATAAATAAAATAAAAATTATTTTATGGGCGGCCCCGGTGGCTCAGCGGTTTAGCGCCGCCTTCAGCCTGGGGTGTGATCCTAGAGACCCAGGATCGAGTCCCGTGTCAGGCTCCCTGCATGGAGTCTGCTTGTCCCTCTGCCCGTGTCTCTGCCTGTCTCTCTCTCTCTGTGTGTGTGTGTGTGTGTGTGTGTGTGTGTGTGTGTGTCTCATGAATAAATAAATAAAATCTTTAAAAAATTATTTTATTATCCAATCACTAGACGATTCTTTATTTATTAGATATACTGGATTGCCCTAAATCTAGCTCACAGGGACTAAAAGGTTGACTTCTATCTTTTGTGAGAACCATCTTAGACTTAAGTATTTGAATATTAAATAATCTTCATGATAGAGATATTTCAAGAACTTCAACCAGAAGCACATATTTCAACAAAATAAATAGATCCCAGTAATGTTACAAACACCATTTCCACAATGTTTATGGTAACAAGAGTGATACTTCGTAAGAATATAAAATTTTTGGTACTAAATTACAAGCGACTTTATGTCATGCTTTGAGAAATAGAAACCTCGGTAGTAACATTTGTACCCTTAGTTTATTGTCATTACCTCTCGTTCTATGGTTTTCCTCCTCAGCAGCTTTTTGACACTTGGGAGCTGCTTCTTTAACAACATGGTAGCTTCGTTCATTCTTCTGACTTGCATGATTAAAAAAGATGGAACCTGGAGAACAAACACTGCTTGAATCAAAAGGAAAGTGTTTGAATTAAACCTCCCTGTTAGACTCTGTCTCCAGTTATGGTAACTCCTGGATGCTCAGTATTCTGGAACCAGTGAGTGTGGCAATCGTCCTTGTAAAGATTAGAGAAAATGACAAGGATTCCTGTTTAGGGGGCACTGAGATGGCTCAGGTCCTGATCCTGGATCCTGGGATCAAGTTCCACATCGGGCTCTGAGTAGCGAGCCTACTTCTCCCTCTGCCTATGCCTTTACTTCTCTCTCTGTGGCTCTCATGAATGAATAAATAAAATCTTCAAAAAAATAAAAATAAAAGGATTCTGTTTAAAAGGGGAAACATGCTTAGGAGCAGCCATTAAAGAATGTGCAAAGATGCTACAAAGCAACCTGAGATTATTTTTTCACATTTCATCCCTGTGACTAAGGGCACAGAATCTTTATGTTTCCTGGGTGCTGGTGGACTTGCAAGTAAAACATCACAGTCATCACACTGTTACTCACTTTCCACAGAATTTTCTGGTATTTAAGCATTAGGCGGATGATGTGGGCTGCAGTGTTTGCTAACTGTAATTCTTCATAATCAGAATGTTTGCTTCGACTGAAGAAAAGGTTTGGTGCCATTATAGTAGAAATGTTCCATATACTCATCCGGTTTTTTGATTCGTTGGCAATCACTTTATTGAAGAATGTCATGAGGACCTAAAAAGACACAGCACCGTGTCACACTACTGTAAATTATTAAAAGGACCTCTGATTGCTATCATTCATTTCTATACCCATTCATAGTGCCTCTGGAAAACTGTCAGAACTATAAAATGGTTAAACGTATAATATTGCCCCCTTTTATTTCTGAAAAACATTAATGAGAAATGTGAATATTCAATTCTCTGCTTCATAAAAGTACTTTCAATTTTATGGATTTTATTATATTGGAGTTTCTATAAATAATAGTCTGCATTTATTTTCTTTTATTCAAAACAAGGCTGGCAAATATTAAAAATTATGTATTAAACTAGTTGGAGAAAACACTGCATTTCAAATAAACACAAGTGTAGTTTTCTTGTGAAGGAAGAAAAGGAACCCTAAAAAACGCTCTTAATTTAAAGCATTACCATTGAAAACTATTTACTATTTCTCTGGGAAAGAAAAATCCATTTAAAAAACACATGAGTATCTCATTCCACATCCAAATGTAAGCTCAATTGAAAAATTTTAAAATTTTACTTTCTGAGTATCATTTTTCTACTGCTTTTCAGTTTTGGAACATTCAGTAGACCAAAGGGAAGTGTTTACATGCAGCTACTCTTGGCAATTAAAAAAGAAAAAGAGAGAGAGAGAGATTTGAGAAAGCTTAAAGTCTGGCTAAGCCACCGAAGTACAGATGCTTATCAGAATCTTCTGAAATTCACCAAAAGGGCAGAAATCTTAAGAAAAAAAGAAAGAGAAAAAAGATGCTTTTTAGTTTTCAAGTTTAAATCCTGCTATAATATTTTTAATGAGAAAATGGTTAGCACATAATAGTAATAATAGTCAACATTTATTTGAGGGTTTATTGTAAGCCAAGCATTCTTCTTAATACTTCATATATATCACCGACTTTATCACCACTACAAGCCCTGTGAGGTAGGTCTGTTATTAATACTGTTTGACAGATGAGGAAACTAATGGATAAGATTCAGGTAGCTTTTCCCAGTGTCAATTAATTAGGTGGCAAAGCCAGCATTTGAACCAAGGAAGCCTGATTCTTGAGCCAGAGCTCTTGACTTCTAACAGCACATCAGCTTCGATCCTAGATCTACTCACAATGTAGAGTCAGAAAAAAAGTGTGTGTGTGTGTGTGTGCACCTGTGTGTAACATCTTTACTAGTACCATGATGTTTTTGAAGATCTTCTGTTAGAAAAGTATTAGTTATTCTTAATGCATCCTTTATTTTATATGAGAGGGTAGATGACATTCTGAACCAAATATCTGATGCCAGATGCATCCTTTTTTCTTTATATATAAAAGAACACTGCTTACAAACCACCTCCCAAACAAGCTAATTAATTTCCAGCTTTTGAAAAATTACCAAATTATACTAGAAATAGACATTCTTATGTCACATCCAATCCCCATTCTTGGGCTGAGGATATAATTGACATATATTATAATTGACACAGATGTTTTTATTATGTAGGAGGAAAGGTCCTCACCAAATTGAAATGTCTGATGAGAGGGAGCACAAAGAATCATCTTTGTTTTTAGCATTATTTTTACTGGTCTCAAAATTACGGGCTCTTTCCAACTCATCTTAACTCAATTTCATTTCAAAGATTCCAAACACCTGTTGTGCACTTACAACAAAATTCCTATTGCATAGAGAATCATTATGAAAATATTAAGAGAACTTATTGATTTTTGCCAACATACAACAAGGAAATAAATCTGAAATAAAGGGCAGAATATTTGGGAGAACCATGGAATGATTCCATCAAATGTTCTATTATATGTTAATAGAGAAATCACTTTCTGAGTCTAACTTTCCTAACCTGTAAAATGAAAAGATTCTATCAGGCAATCTCTAAAATTCCAAGATTCTAGGAATCTTTAATTGAATTATCTTTATAAACTGTACGACACAAATATCTTAGAAATTTCATTTAAATCAGTGACTTCAAATTTCCTCCCTAAGGACACTCCTCAGATCTTTTGTCACTAGACTGAAGTGAGTAGCTGAGGACCTAAAATTATAGAGCTTTACATTATGCAGCTACCATAATGGCCTCATCTACTTCTGATAATTATTCCACTTGCCTTCCATCTTTGTTTCTCTTTTTGCTAACCCTAGGCCAGGGCCTGGCACTAGGAGATGCTCAGTATCTCTTAATGGATTGAATGAATTAAACTGAAATATTTAGAGAAGATCCTAGGATTTACATCTTCCTCAGGAGAACAGCAGTGGGAATGTGGAAAGGCAATAATAGGTTGGCAGCGTGCTCAGCTGGCTTAGTAAGTTGTTGTCTTAGTTTTTATTTTTTCATCTCAGCCATTTTCTTTGACTAAGAAGGGCCAGTGACAGACCATGAGGTTGGTACAACATACCTGGGCTGTGTCCCTGTTGGCATCAGGCAGTGCCATGACCATGAGATGTAAAGCTTGAAACTGTACTTTGATGTGAGGCCCTCCTAACAAGAAAACAGAAATAACCGCACATTTTGAACAACACTGATGCATTCTGACAGCATTTCTTGCTAACATCTGGTGCCACAGGAGGGCTCCTGACAACTTTCAGTAATAAAGACTCAGATTTTATGCCCAACAATGTAAATTTGTTAACTTGGACAAGAGCCTCAATCGATCAACTCCTCTTTCACATCCCATAATGCCATTGTAGAGGCAGGTGGCCAATGAGATCCTCAAAATAATTCTAGATTTGTATAAGATTTCCCTTTTCAAAGTACTTCTACAGGCCCTGCTTTACTTGTATGCTATAATCAGAAGGCTTAAAAGCTCAAGTCAACAGAAAATAAATCTTGTTTCTACATAATGAGGCAGCAAAGTATAATCATTAGAGCAGAGACTCTAGAGCCAGGTTCAAATCCTACATCTACTACTTAGTCACTGAGTGACCTTGTGCAGGCTATCTAACCCCTCATTGCTACTATTTCACCATCTGTAAAATGGGAGTAGTCAGATCTACCTACCTCCCTGGGCTGTTACAAGGACTAAACAAGTTAGTATGTATAGAGTGTTTACATCAGTACCTGTATATAATTACCTGTATATGTGTTTGATCTTGTTATTACGATTAATGACACTTATTCCAGATCATAAATGGACATTTAAGGAAGGGGACTACAGTTGATCTTTAGATTCTTGAGTATTTTGTTCCTCGATAATTACAGAAGATGGCGCCAGAGGGCTGGCATTTATACTTGTGTATTAAAGGTTGGCTCCTTTCCTGTTTCAGGGAAAGAATTTTAGGGATTCCATCCACAACTGGATAATCCACAACCAGCTGTGCTGAAAATGCAGAGTATATCAGAACATTCCAGGCTTCGCTTTGTCTCTCTATATTCTCCTTATAATGGTCTCTTGGTAGGGAGTTCCTAGAGGGAAGCATTATATTCTAGCATCCCTGGGGAGTTCTCAACTTGAAGGAAAATCTATTTATATTCAATGGATGGAAGGCAGTTAATCACTTGTAAAGTTACTTAGCTTTATAGCAGTGCAAACACTCTTGTGACAAGCTACTAGGTTTTAGGAGATTGTGTGCATCCTAGTTAGGAGTAGATGACTAATATGTATAACCATGTAACAGAAACAGTTGGGAGAATTATTTATAGGATGCATGATATTGTTTTGGTACAATCCCCATGTGGATTTTTAGAAATTTATGTCAGATTTATAAACAAAAATGACACAGGTTCAGGATGTTTTTGAAAATGGCTAACGTACACTGACAGGAGTTTACCTGATTAATAGGAACTACCAGGAGCATATCTCAGTACAAAACACTGGGGGGCAGATGAGGCATTATTTTAATGCATAAACTGCAGGCTGTCTATAATCTTACAACACAACCCAAAAAAATCCCTTTGGCAGAGGGAAAAATAGATGCAGATGCAAGCTCTGTATTTCCTTCAATTTCAGAGAAATTATGAAGTTACTTTTAAGACTGAAACTCCAAACTGGCAAATAATCCATTTTCATTTTATTTAGGATACCTATGCCAATACCACTTCGTGGCTAATAGTTTTATTAACTAATTAATTACCGCATCCTGGTTAGGATCTTTTCCCCTTGAGATTATTATTTTCCCAGAAAATTATTAAAATGTCATAACAATATCTGAAACTTGAATTAGTCTTTTAATTTTATGGTCAATTTTGAGCCAAGTTTGGAAAGAGAATGTGATTACACTAAAAGACTACATTCTCCAAACTTCATTTTAGAGCATAAAGAATGGAGCTTAAAAACATGTATCCACAATTCTTTCCTTCAGAAAATCTTTTATAACTAGAGCTTACTCTAGGTAGCAAAAAGACCATTTTCCCTGCTGGTAGCAGCCCAGAACTCTGGGCTTCCTGTGGGGTTGGCTGGTATCAAATCAATTATGGCAACATAGTATTTTTCACTTTCAAAGTCATACAAAGAAATGTGGACTCCTCTGTGAATCTTTTCAGGGTATTTTCCAGATTTTCTCCCTTTAATGAAATGTACTGGCTGGTGTCAGAAGGCAACAATGATGGTAAGGAAACCTAATACCTTTTTAAAATAGGATTCTCTGAATAGGTCTGGCATTGGATGATTCCTTCATAATTTCATAACACCAAAAAACCACAAACAGAAAAAAAATCCTCTGTGGCACAAATTTGTTCTAATGAATTATTTAGTATATATACACCAGAGATCAAGGCAAAGCTAATACATCTGCAGCCCAGTTTCCAGAAGAGCAAACTACACAGAAAATCCTATGCTTTTTGAACTTACAAATTGAAGGGAGGAAGTCCTGCTTCTGGTATGGCTGAATAAGCTCCTTCTGGACCAACCTTCCCAAAGAGAACTATAAATTCTGGACAAATACAAAAAACAACCATCTAAGGCACTGTTGAATTAATAAAGGCAGGCAGATTTAGAAGACTGGCCACTTGGAATTAGGGAATGGCACAGGGAGAGTTTTCCACTATTCTGGCTTTTGGCCTGTGGTCAGGCCATAGCTCGTATTGACATGAGGTAGCTAAAGCTCCAAAAGAAAACTCTTGTCTTTCTGGTCTGAACAACTAAAATACAGGATTCATTAAGACCACAGCCACTGGGAAATAATGGGCAAAGGCCTTGACTCTGGTATAAAATCTTGGCTGACTCATGAACGAAGCACATGTAAAGTAACATAGGGTAAGGATTAAACAACTGAACTGACAGTTGAGCTGTCCAAAAGCCCACCGGCAACTTGAGTTCAAATATATTGTTTGCTCAAATACAAAAACAAACAACAAAAACTAAAACAAAACTCCAAACCTCACTCTTGGGAGAAATACTATAAAATGTGGGGTCTCCAAAACTGAGTATTCACCTGACATACAAAAGTGATGCATTCTCAAGGGAAAACACAATAAACAGAGACCAATGTGGAGGTGAGTCAGATGTTGGGACTAGCAGACAAGGATTTTGAAGCATGTATCATAACTATGCTCAATGATACGAAGAAAAATATGTTTATAATGAATGAAAAGATAGGCCATCTCAGCAAATAAATAGAAAATACTTTAAAAGGAGGCAAGAATATACAATGGGGAATAGTCTCTTCAACAATGGCGTTGGGAAAACTGGGCAGCCACATGCAAAAGAATGAAACTAGACCACTGTTTTATATTATATGCAAAAATGAACTCAAAATATACAAAAATGAATTCAAAATGGATTGAAGAAAAAAATGGATTGAAGACCTAAATGTGAGACCTAAAATAATAAAACTTCTAGAAGAAAACATAGGCAGTAATCTCTTTGACATCAGCCATAGGAAGATTTTTCTTGATATATTTCCTCAGGCAAGGGAAAGCAAATTAAACTATTGGGACTATACCAAAATAAAAAGCTTCTGCACAGTGAAAGAAATTGTCAACAAAATGAAAAGGCAACCTATTGAATGGGAGAAAATATTTACCAATGACATATCTGATGAGCGGTTAATATTCAAAATGTATAAAGAACTTAACACCAAAAAACCCCAAATAATCTGATTTAAAAATTGGTGGAGGACCTGAATAGACATTTTCCCTAAGAAGATTGAGACGGCCAATAGAGACATGAAAAAATGCTCAACATCAGTAGTCATCAGGGAAATACAAATCAAAACCACAATGAGATGTCACCCTACACCCTTCAGAATGACTAAAATAAAAACCACAAGAAATAACAAGTGTTGGTGAGGATGTGGAGTAAAAGGAACCCTTATGCACAGTTGGTAGGAACGCAAATTGGTGCAGCCACTATGGAAAACCCTATGGAAATTCCTGAAAAAGTTAAGAACATAATTACTGTATGTATGATCCAGTAATGCCACTGCTGGGTACTTATCAAAAGAAAACAAAAACACTAATTCAAATAGATTATGTGCACCCTTATGTTTACTGCAACATTATTTACAATAACCCAAGATATGGAAGCAACCCCATCAACAGATGAATGGATAAAGAAAATATGGTATGAAAAAAAAAAGAAGATGTGGGGTATGTGTGTATATATACATACATTGCATATAATGTGTATACAATATATACATATGTATACACATATTCATATAATGGAATATTACTCAACCATAACAAAAACAAAATCTTGTCATCTGCAACAACATGGATGGATCTAGAGGGTATAATGCTAAGTGAAAGAAGTCAGAGAAAGAAAAATACCATATGATTTTACTTATGTGCAATTTAAGAAACAAAACAAATGAACAAAAAAAGAAAAAAAAAGAGACAAACAAAAAACCATATTCTTGAATATACAGAGAACAAACTGGTGGCTTCCAGAGGGGAGGGATGAAAATAATGAAAGGGATCAAGAGTACACTTAACATGAGCGCTGAAAAATATATCAAATTGTTGAATCATTATATCGTACACCTAAAACTGATATAATACTGTATGTTAATTATATTTCAATTTTTAAAAAGCATCAACTGGAAATTCTAGAACTGACAAAGCACAATACCTGAAATAAAAAAAAAATGAAGCAAACTAGCTTTACTCTCTTTCTTTACAAGCTTCCCTCATAAAACAAAACACTACATCTTACAAAGTAAAGAGATATTTTAGAGATACACAGATGACATGTGAATTAAGGCTTAGGAAAAACTGCCTTGATTATCATATTCTCTTCTCTGAAGACACCAAGGATTATTTTATTAATCTGATTTAGTTAAAATTTTTAAAGATTTAGTGCCTACTAATTTTAGGACAAACACTGTCATAAAACTTAGGACCTATTATTTTCCTTCATTGCAGTTTTAAGGATATTATAGTTCTGGTCAACCTGCAGGAAGTTATTAACTGGCAGATATAGATATCATTTGTTAGGCCCATACAGTTTTCAAATTTGAATTTGTGGCTGATACTTTCAAAATAACAGTTTTCCCATTAAAGTGTGGATTTTGGCTCTCATTCCCACAGTAACCATTATCTAGAGCTGAGCAGTGGCCAACCTTTTTTATACGGGGTGCGTCTTTTCAGTTTGTCCATGGGCTTTTTCTGTCCATGTAGAATTGTCATTTATTTAACAGCTTTGTACATAGTTAGGCTTGTAATTCTTGAATTCCTCTGGTTGGGAGTCAAAGCCCCCATCATTTCAATCTACTCTACTTTTCTAAATTTCTCTCTTGTCACATAGCCACAATATTCAACCCTGAGGCTAAAGCCATGTCAAATTATTCTCTCACTTCCAAACACAACACATACTTTCCAGTTTCCATGCTTTTATCCAAGTTCCTCACTTAAGGCCTAATCTATGAGACTTTGTAGTTCTCAGAGACAAAACACCTTCTGTGTAGCATTTATTGTATGTTACACACATTATCAAACCCAGGTCCCTGGATTTAAAAAAGGGAGAAACCTTGTACTTTTGGAAGGACTATTACATACCAGGTACTATTCTAGATGTCTTCATTCAATAACCACATCAACCCTGATTACAGGGTTATAAATTACAGATTAATTTATCTGTAATTTATAGGTGCAGCAATGAAGCTCAGGAAGGTTGACTGCATGGCTAGCAGATGATTGAGCAGGAATTCAAATCTCAAGAGCCTGGTCTTCCTGTAACCTTCTCTTTTAATGATTATAAAACCTGTAAATTTTATCTACCAGACTTAATATATAAATACGAAAAGAGAGGACTGTTTACCATCAAACTCAATATTTCACCAAGGACTGTCATGAAATAGGAAATTTGTATATTTATGATCACATTTGATTATGCATCTTTCTTGTGCTTTGTGTCATTTTATTGACCTTATTATATCTTAGCCCATTCACACTTAACTTCTTCCACCTACTTTCCATGAGAGTGATGAAGGCTGGTATATATTCCACAGGGAAGAGAGAGGTGGGTAGTTCTCTGAAAAATGCCTTCAACATTACTGCAGCTTCTCTATGGCACATTCTGTCCCATTTAAATTTATCAGCATTAAACTTGGCATCCAGTTCTTCCCGGTATTGCTGAAAATCAAGAAAAACAGTCAATATTCAAGGGGTTTTAAGCACCTGATCCCCTCTCTTTCCCTTTTGAAAACTGTCATTACATAAACTATTTTTGTAAATAGATTGAAAAGCCATTATCTACCAAGCCTAACTTTTTCAACATAATTAAAGAACTGAAATAGCTATTTCTGAATGATTTTTTCTAAAGCCTTTTAAGAATAACGTTAATTTTGAAATAGTCTACTTATTCTACAGAACTATAAAATTCTTTACTCAGATCATAGTTTCGTTTCTGTGGTTTTGGCAGACTACCACCCATCCCCACCGGATAAATGTACTGATTTGACAAAAGCCTCCACTTCCCTTTTTTCTCGTGATTTCTTCCTTCTGCCATCCTGTCATCTACTTCTAAATTAGATTGAGAATGTAGGCCTCTCAGCTAGTTCTCATACAGAATGAAAAGTATCCCAGTAAAGGAACTCTGACCTCACGGCAACATGCAGACCAATGACATCTTCCTGGAGCAGTTATAGCAAAGTGTTATGCCAAGAGGTACACATGTCTTCCACATGTTTGCATGCTTGCCCAATCCTTCCTAAGACTTGGAACACTGCGTAAATACTTTTAAAAAATCACTAAGCCTCCATAAGTTTTAGTTGGGTTATACAGTTCACATTATTGATTCACTTGATGACCAGTGCCACCATTCTCCAGGTTTCTTTTTCAAAGTCAAACTCATTTTCTACCACTTCCTTGAACTGCATACAGAGTTTACCTATTAATAGCAGGTAGTTGCCATAGTTCTCTAACTGACACTAACTACTCTGAAAACTCTCAGTGTCTTTGAGGCATCTGTTTTATCCTCATGAGTGGCCTAATTTTTCCAGCCTTAAGTCACACACAGAATCAGTCTGCACATCTGACCTTTCCCCACCATGCTGCAGCTCATTAACCAGCTTCTTGTCCTTGAGAAGCTCTCAATCTAATAAGAATAATACAGCAAATCAAGGAAATCCTTTGCTGATAAATACACTTTGTAAAACATTGAAGCATACATATAAAGTGCTTCCTAGGATAAAAGAAGTAGAGCACAGTCTGGAATCTGATGAGAGAAGGATGCGTGAGATCCATTCCCTGCCCCCTAGACATCTTGCAGTTTAGTGAATGGGACTATCTTATGAACTCATGATGCTAACTCCAGTCACATATTGGACGCTATGTAGCCAGGAAAAAGAATCCAACTCTGCTCAGGCCAAGTCTTGAGTCTGTGAGTAACCGTCAGGGGAAGAGGAAATAGAAGGGTACTCCAGACAGGAGAAAGTGCTCCAGCAGTGATACACATGCAAGGAAACCCACTGGGTCTGGGGAACTCAAATTAGTTTAGTGTTGCTAGGGCATAGACCAGAGCCAACCCCCAGGGGACTGAACTTCATTCCATGGGCTGTGAGGCAACATGGAACGTGTCCAAGCAGGAGAACAAGGTGAGATTTATTTTTTCTGACAGCCAGATGGGAAAGCGATTTGGAAGAGAGTCTGCTATCGATTGAAGAAGACGAGAGGCAAGGAGACCAGCTACTGGGCCATGGCACTATTTCTGGAAAATCGAGGACTAACCTCGATAAGCAGCTATAAGGCAAAAAGGAGAGGTAGCATCGAGAAATGCCTGAGAGAGAAAACTTGACTGACTGCTAGCTGGGGTCACGGGGAGATGGAGGTGTTGTTAGCAGGAAGTACAGGGAAAACAGCAGACGTCTTCCATCCATGGACTGGTGCCACAAAGCAAAAGGGAAACTGTTTTCAAGGAGGCAGGAAGCCCCAGCAAGAGCAGAATAAATCAAACTCATCGCCCACATCCCTCTGCTGTAGGAATTTGTCTGAAACTCAATGTGACCACCATTCTAACTCACCAGTGGATCTCTGTTGCTTAACAGGCAACATAGCTCCAGCACCAAGAGCAGGCTCTATGACCAGATTCTTTAGGTTTTTATCCCAATTCCACAACTGACAAGTTCTCAGGCCTGTCCCCCAAGTTTTTCACTGTGCAAGAGGGATATTAAAATGACTTCACAGAGATTAAATCAGACAATACAATGTAAAGCTCAGTGAGGAGAGACCACCACACAGTAAGCTCTCAATAAATGCTGGCTGCTTCTAACATCTTCCTCCCCCTGGTCTATAATAATCTCTAGGATTATTACTATGGGAAATCCATGCCTATGTGCTTATTTGGGTAATAGTATCTCTTCATCTTGTCTGGAAGGCCAGGATAAAACAAAACTGAGAGAGATCGTCCTCTCTTCCTTTTGACCATAGCAAACTGAGGGACACAGGAGCAGAGCGGACATTTCCATGGTGGTCCTAAACATGACACCATACACCCAGTGTTGAATTTAGCTTGCCAAAGACAGGAAAGGAAGCATTTACAGGTTAAGGAAGACGTGTCTTCTGTCCGATGTTAATGAGAACTCTAGGCAGGGGTCAGATGCCACATCCTTAAGTCTGCTCTGAGCAAATATATAACCTGCTTCCATTTAGGAGGTAGTTTTATAAAAATGCAAATGACCCACCTTCAGCTTCAGAAACCAGTTCAAGAAGGGAAACCAGCAGGCCAGGTAACATAATTGTGAAACATTTAAAGCAGCCTCAGAATAACTGAAACTAGACAAAAAAAAAAAATCCTTGCATGTCAAACAGCCTGCCTTCTTCCATAAAATGTATTCCCCAGTGTTTGGCTCAAATTTCTGTCATTTTTGGAGAAGAAAATCAGTGGAAACACCAAAGCATTAAATTGGTTCCAAATGATCAGAGCCCTCGAATACAGGAATGGGCTCCGATACCGTGTTTCCTGTGCAGTCAAAGCTAGCAGCTTCCCCACAGGGCTGTGCCCCCGTTAGTCTCACCAGGCCTCAAAAGTACAAGATTGTTCATAATCATACATTAGTGTTAGCGTCATGCATTTGGCACAATTGGAGGATAATTAGAATGGAGTTTTTTTTTTTTTAACTATCTTTCCCCAAGCACATTCCTAGAAAAAAATAGTCTAACAGAAGAACTTACAAAAGTGGTTTAAAGTTTGAACAAAGAAGAGAAATAAAGACCCCTTTAATATATCAAGTTACAATGTCTTTCTAACTATGATATTCCCTCGTTTCTGTTTGCTGGCCCAGATTTCTCTCACACTGGTTTTCCTGGAGCTCAAACCATGAAAACATCTGGATTACATTTTCAGACTAATAAGAGATGGAATAAATAGGCTGAAACTACATAAAACCGATTAGGGGGGAAAAGGGACTTTTCCCAAAATGTGGTTCAAGAATACATGTGCCTGTAAGAACATTCTGAAAGAATTATTAGCCTAGGGTAAGCATTTTTCAGTCAAAGATTAGCTAAAGTAACTTCTGCTATGGAGTCAAACTTCATGCACACAACAAATATTGTCTCCTTTTGATTATTTTGAGAAAGAGTTTTAAATAATCTCCATTATGTTATACACACACACACACACACACACACACACACGAGCCAGGAAGAATCTGTAAATACCACTTCCCAATGATAAGTTTAGAAGAATGAAGTCTAATTGTGCCTAAGAAATTTGTTTCTCTGGCTTCATTTCTTCATTTTGGTTCTCTGACTCTATAGATATGACAACTTTCATCCTCTGATTCAGGGTACATATAGCCACTGTAGCAATGAGAATCTAAGACAAAAAGCAGACTCAATTCAGAAAGAATAAATCTTGAGGAAACATTAGGAATTTTCTTGCCTTTCAGCATCTAGCAATCTCCACTCCCAGGGAAGTAACAATTCTCCAAATACCCCGACCCCTTCTGTCATTGGCAAAGTGGTGTACTGCTCAGATCTCCCTCATAAAATGAATTATCTGCATAAAATAATTGGTGATTCCTGGCACCAACTCTGCTAGCAGTTAGCACTGCTCATCTGCCTCATCCCCTTCTTTACAAGATGCTGGGGCAGTGACTGAGTGCATTGTGGAAGCTGATTCCTGGCACCTCTGCCTGGTGAGGGGGTGCTCTGAAGGGCAGGCAGGGCCAGCATCAGCCCTGCATCTGCTGTGAGGCACAGCCTTACCAGCCTGGCTTCTTCCTTTGCACCCTTCAGAAACACTGACTCTTCTACTCCTGACTCCATCTCAGAATCTGCCTTCTACAGCTTCCAATAGACACAGCCTATTTCTCAGTTTCTACTTACCAAAACATCTCATCACACTTCTAAATAAAAACCCTGAGATTTCTGATACAAATAGAATTTCCCAAGACATGTACCAAAATGAATTAATGAAGAAATGCTCTTCTACCTCTACACGTTGCAACTAAGTTAATTTTCCCCTCATCTCGAGACTTCTTTTTTCAGACTGATTATTTAAAACTGCTCAGGTTCTCACATCTACCAGCCAGGGAGATCCAAGGGCAGAGTGGGACTCTTCAGTGTGATGCCCCCTCCGCCCCCCTCCCCCCGGTGAAAAAGTGGGATATCTTACTGGAAAGTTATTTATTTATTTAAAGATTTTACTTATTTATTCATGAGAGACACACACAGAGAGAGAGAGAGAGAGAGGCAGAGATACAGGCAGAGGGAGAAGCAGGCTCCATGCAGGGAACCTGACATGGGACTCGATCCCAGGACTCCAAGATCATGCCCTGGGCCAAAGGCAGGCGCCAAACCGCTGAGCCACCCAGGGATCCCCTCTTACTGGAAATTTATGAGAAAAGTTTTTCTTTTTACTGATTCTCTCCTTTATGGCACTGTGGAGTTTGCTACTACATAGAAGTAGGAAGACTAAGTAAAAGGACTCACATTACACAGGTGGTTTTATATGTAGAAATTAACTTTACCTTATATGCAACTAGGCTTTAGAACTGCTGAGTGATTATTCTAGTGGTAACATCATTCCTACATATTTTTATAAGGACTTTCATTAAAAAGACATCCAAAGAATGTTTCTAAGTTTAAAGCAACTGATAATGAGGAGCACCCAGGTGGCTCAGTCAATTAAGCTTTGGACTCTTGATTTCAGCTCAGGTCATGAACTCAGGATCGTGAGATCGAGCCCCGAATAGGGCTCTGCACTGGGTGTAAAGCCTACTTAAAATTCTCTCTCCCTCTCCTTTTGCCCCTCTCTTCCCGCTCTAAACAAACAAAAAAAAAAGTACATAAAAAAATATGAAGCAACCGATAATGGAAATGAGGGCTCACGTAATATTGGCTTGGCAAATTCCATGACTGGGAAGAACATAGCAAACTAAAGTGTTTAACCCAGAAAACAGTGATGGAATATTTCAACTTTTCGAAACTAAAGATAAGAAGCAGTCTTTCACGGTGAGCTGGTGTGTTCTTGCACTGATGCTGTTTTTTTATTGTTGTTGTTTTAAAAGGATATACAACTCAGGATCACAGAACAACATTTAATCATAGGCATCCAGAACACGAGATAGGGTCAAGTGGTCCTATCAGCAGCAACAAAAAAGGACTTGATCCCTGGGTCCTGTGTAAACTGGGTCTAGTTAGCCTAGATCTCCCACTAGAAAGAGAGAAAATGTTCAGTACCTTGACTTTGGCAGTACATCCTGAAAGTCGAAAAATTCCTTCAGATTCCAGGCCTGACTCCTCAACTTTCTCAAAAAACTAGAAAGCAATGATACATTATAAAAATAAATACCTCCATACAATTACAAACATCTGAAATGACAATGATGGTGACAACAATCAATAAATTACCAAGCATATGTGTACGTTCCTGGTATTTGAATGTTCCCAACTGCCTCCAAGGTCAACAACAGTTTCTAATTTGCAAATGAAAGGAGACTGAGAACTGTTCTATCAATTCCCAGGATCAACCTCAAAAGTAAGGGCACTGTCTCTCAAGTTTGTGTTCTTGACCACTAGAGTACACCACCACTTGACTAAGTTAAGATCTGATTACTATGTATCTTTTTCTGCAGATGGAACAACAGGAAAAGATTCTAAATTTACTATTATTAGAACCATTTCAGCTGAGAGACTATAGGAATTCTAGAAATATGATCAAGAAGGCAGAAACTATAAAGGTTTATATGCCTCCTGAGTTCCCATGGTGGTATGATGATGATGATGATGATAATGGTGATTGATGATGATGGTGATGATGTTGTTAACGTAGTAATAACACAATCTGACATTTATTGTGCACTTATTGTGTCAGATGCCCCTTTCTCAGCACTTTGCCATGCATTCATCTAATCTTCACATTAATCCTACAAGGCAGGTGCTAATCGCATCCCCATCCAAATACTGAGAAGACTAAGGCATGGAGAGGGTAAGTGACTTGCCTGTGTTCACATGGCAAGGGGGGGCTCAAGTCCTCCTCTTCAAGAGGACTACTCCTCTTGAAGTCTTTAATTCCTCTTCAAGAAATGGGGGTAACTGAACTAAGGTAGTTCTTACAGGTAGGGAGATAAATGGATATTTAGGCTAAGGAAATATGTCCACAGAAAAAGACTCTCCCATAGGAGTGGAAGAATTAATACCTTAAGCTGTCTTCAATGAGGAATACTTGATATCAAGAGTAATAATAGCTAACATGTATGGAGTTGCTAAGATGATATAAATCTAGATTTAGTTGAACTAGCATTTACCATGCACTTTCCATTTGCTAAATTCCATGCTAGGTTTTTGCAGCTACATAATAATATAAATCCAAGTGTTGAATCGCCTCAGTCTTCGATTGTTATGCATTATCTTCAAACTCTATCCTTTATAGAGAGGACAGAGGTAGTGATTCTAGTTCTAATTCAAGAAAGGAAAAGAAAATCTTCATGTCACCACCATAGGCTGGGCTCGCCTTTGCCCTTCCTCCTAGCTGGCTGTGGGCTCAAGGGTAAGGTATCTCACTCTCCTCCTTAGTAACCTCATCAGTAGAAGGGAAATGATCACACAACCTCCTCAAGCTGCTAAGTGCTGACTACCCATGCTAGGGTATGGATGGCACTTACTCAGGGAAGGAACCCTATAGATGCCCCTGTGCACACTGGCATGTCACCAGCACCCTCTGGCTCTTTCATTGGCATTTTCTATCTCCATCAGCAGCAACCAATCACCTGACTTGAGAAGTATCTCAGTCTCCGGCACTGGCAGCAAAGTTTAGGGAGTACACAGTAAAGAACCATAGCATTGTTACTGTGAATAAGGTAAGTATATGTTTCCTCAGTCAATATTTTTCTAAATTACTTAAAAACTCAATTTAAAATGCAACAAGCTTTGTGTTTAGGGGTTGGGATTTTAAATGTGCCACTGGATGTCACTGTTGAATAAATGCATACTTGAGTAAACCAGTGTAAATTGTTGGCTATAAAAACATGACTTAAAAAAAAAAAACATGACTTAAAATCAAATCAGCTATTGAGTGATTGAGTGATGATGGTCACAGATACTGACAGATGATAATTGAGATAATATCATTTTTAAAACCCCCTTCCACCAAACTTATTCTTTATCTAAACATATTTCATCTTCCTAGTGATACCTGAAAAACCACCAGAAAAATGGATTTTAGGCTTTATTAAGCTTTGTTAGCCAAATTCATTTGAATGATTACACATATACATTTAAAAACACCCAACCTGTGATAGAGCTAGGCAAATACCTATATAATCAGTAAATGTACAGCTGATAATTAATGGTCATCTTGTATTCTGCAGGGAATAATCAAATACAAACACAAACATGTAACGCACATAAGTAACCTTTAGAAAACACTGGAAAAAATATAACAGAAGGAAGCCATACAACAGAGCATCTGTGTTCATCACCTGATGCTTTACTGTCAGACCGTGTAATAGGCTCTAAAAGTTTGCAGCAAGGCAAACTGGTTACAAGTACTGTGGGATGCTATGGGGATGCAAGAAGAAAGCTGAAAATCACCCAGGGCCTGAGTCCTAAGAGAGCTTCAGTGTCTTTAAATATATAAGAAAATTCATTAGCAGGTTTACAACTCCAAACTGCAGGCAGGAGGCTTTAGTTTTTCCTCAGTCATTTACACTCCACTCACTTTTTGTAACACCAATGGGACCTTCACTCCAGGGTCTTTCTTTCGGTCATTGTCCAATAGAACTGTAAGTGGAACTCCAAAAATACCATTGTCTTCGTTGTAAAATGGGCAAGAAAGAAAGAAAAAAGAATCAGCAAAGCACTAACTTATTCCAGTGTATCAAAGAGCTAAAATCAGAAGAAACCTGTCTTAACCACCTCGTCCTTTTACTTTCTCAGTTTTGTTTCTTTTCAGCTGGATTCCAAAGGCATCGAAAAAGGCAGTCAATTCAATCAGGGAGAGATGGCGGATTTTTTTCATATCTTCGGCAGACAGATCTCCTGCTTCAGTTAGGCCGAATCTGGTTTTCTGGACAATAAATTTCTAAAATACATATTGAAGATATTTATTTTTCACGGCAAAGGAAAATTATTATTCCCTCATTCAAATACCACCTGGACATTCTAAATCTGAATAGCAAAACATGTTGCTTATAAAAAATCTCCGAGGAGCAAGTTGCATCACAGAAAGATTATGAATGATTTCAGAACGTTTGCAGAACACTCCTGTGCTAAATTAGAAACAAAAGAGTGATCTGGAATGTACTATAACACTGTCGTCACAACCATGAAAATGTCCTTCTTCTAAGAAACATCCTGTGTTGTTAACTGACGCCCCAGGCACCACATGGAATGTACCTACCATGGGCATACATGACATGCACACAAGGCCCAATAGCTAAGTGCTCCCAGAAGAGCTTCTGACATATCTTTTCAGGGGTTGGGGGCTCTTAGTCCTTGAATCAGGTATGATCTATTCTCTTCTGCATATTCTAAAAGACTAATCTCCCCCACTGAATGTGATTGCACATTTCTGCTGAAACAGCACAGTTATTCTACCTTAAAAATCAAATTCAGATATAAAAGTCCAAGCATTTCTAAAAAAGATAAAGATATAGAAAGTACCACATCATCCTACTATCATTTCAGACAATGACATTGCTATATTCTCCATATCCACAATAGGAAACAAAAATACAATAAAATGATAACAGGGCAGCCCGGGTGGCTCAGTGGTTTAGCGCCACCTTCAGCCCGGGGCGTGATCCTGGAGACCTGGGATTGAGTCCCACATCAGGCTCCCTGCATGATGTCTCTGCCTCTCTCTCTGTGTCTCTAATAGATGAATAAAATCTTTTAAAAAAATAAAATGATAACAATAAAACCCTTCAACAATCCAGAAATACTGTGAAGACTATAACAAGTAACAAAGCACAAGTATGCTTTGCTCTAAAAAATCCTGGTATTGAATAAAATTGCCAAGGCAGAAAAATTCCAGTTGTTTCAATTATAAAGCTTTATACATTCTCTATAGGAGTTCCCTCAGTTAGAGCTTTCTTGAGGTTTTTAAATCATCTACTCATTCAATCATTCATTCATTTAGTCAGCAATTACTCCTGGGAGCCTCAAGTATTTTAAAAGTGAAACAACAAAATGTAGAATGTGGTTTGGGGCATATCTTATCTTATAAAAAACTTAGTTGTTTTACCTTCTTTCTGAGACCAAAACCTCACATAACAGTAATACATAGCAACAACGACAGAGATAAGAACCACAATCATTCACTGAGTAATTACCACTTGCTAAATCTCACAGAAAGTTCTTCACAGAAGGCCAACCTGCACCCCAGGTGACCCAAATCTCAGGAGGGGACAGCGGATGAGGGAGCTGGGGGCCAGCATCCTCTCTTGGATGACTCTCTCTAAAGATTGGGAGGGATGCCCCTAAAACCAGAGTCCCATTGGATTCCCTCTTTTGCCCCAGAATACTTCTGTGCCCTCCAACATAGAGGCTGCTCAGGGACCAGGAGAAGTTTTGGAGTTTGACATACGTAGGTTTAAATCCTGTTTCAGCCTCCTACTTGCTTTGGGGCTTTGGATCAATTACTCAGCTTCTTTGAGCCTCAGTTTATTTAGCTGTAAAATGGGAGCAGTCACAGGGTGATTACAACAAGGATACCTAGTATAGCACTAGGTTGGTAGAAAGTACTCAGAAAGCCATACAGTTCTTGCCCTGCCCTCTTGTTCCCCTCCATCACGGGACTGTTGTCTGGGAATGGTCCAGGCTGCCTAGGCAAAGACAGCCATTTTTTATATGACTCATTCCCTTAGCCCTGAATCTGCCTGAGCCCTGCTGGTCATCATGCCTCCAGCTCTGATCAGCACATAATATTCAGGGCTCTATATCATGAACTCTTCACAAATGCATTTACTGAGCAGCCAACAGATCAGTGTAATATAGTTCTTTAGTGGGCTTTCAGGATATAATATCCTGGATATAAAGATATAGATATATAGATATATACATACACACTCTGAGACTTTCAGGATAATGAAGTATATAGCTCTACTTGCCTATTTTGTAATAATATTATAAATTCTTGAGTCTATTTGATAAATTTTTAGTGCCTGTCCTGCAAGTACTCACTTCTTATTTTAATGACTGTGACTTTTTGCAGTAGCCCCTCTGATATGTGACTTCTAGAGGCATAAGCTAGTATATAGTTAGAATCTGCATTAACCTATAAGTAAGGATATAAAGCACATGAAAGCACACATTCAGGAAATCCTGTTTCCTCTGTAAAACAGTATTAAAGTATATACCTTTAGAACTCTTCCTCAACTCAGTACTGCCAGGTACAGCTAGGTAGGCTGTGCAATGCACAACCATGATGCCCTGGTGTTATGCAACACTAATGCCTGCCCTCTTCCTCCACACATACATATTAAAAAAAAAAATCCTAGTTTGTCCCATAGAAAAGTCAGAGGAAGTTATGGGGATAATCATGAAAAGTTTTACGTACAGTTAAAGCGTAGTCTTCTTTCTTAAAATCTGACTTCTTAAATTTATTTCTTTTTGGAATCTCTGTAACCATTTCTGAATAAGATACTTCAAAGGACAGCTCTTCAGTTTCTGGTACAATGTTTTTTTCCAGATAATTGTCATCTAAAAAAAAGGATATATAATATTTTATATGCCAAATCAACATCATGTACTATAAAATAAGCACAAAGTATAAGCATGTTAGAATGTTTACATCCAAGGAATAGCATTGGACTCACCCAGGCAATTTCAGTTAAGCAATAATGTGAGGTCACTGGACTTCCGTATGAATGAATTTCTATAATAACTATCCAAACAAACTTTCTATTTCATCTGATATCTTTAATCTTAGATTTTTTTCTCATGAAAGGCAATGAGGATTACTTGATGAAAGCCCACAAATGATGTATTTCTTCTATATGTTCTTATGATATTACAGTTAAGTCCACCTAAACCCAATGTCCCTGTTCCTAGGGAAGCAGAAGCTTAAGGCAGAGGGAGAAGGAGCAAAAACTCCCCCAGAATTCCTGCCTAAAATCACTTCTCTTGTTTTTTTCTCCCAAACTGTGGGATGTTTGTCTCTTAGAATGTGTTGGAATTCAATCTGGACTTCAGTGTTAGGTTTGTTAAGGTAAATTGATCCAAATTCTTATGATTTGATTTGGTTACCTGACCTAGCATGATATTCATTAACAAAGAGCCAAATGGTGACAAGAAATGTCCCACATCAATGTTCTCCATGAGGTAGTTTGAAATTAAGATTCCTTGATCAAAAACAAATGAATCCAGAAATCATTTGAGTAATCCTAAACTCTGATTTCTGACTAAGATTTGGTTTGCCACCATTTCTCATCACCTGGAAAAACTGTTCATATGCGTTTAAAAAAACAAAACAAAACAAAAACTTGACTACAAAAAAGAGAACTCATCTAAAGGAAAACCAAACACTGGGAGGAGGGGCAAGATGGCAGAAGAGTAGGGTCCCCAAGTCACCTGTCCCCACCAAATTACCTAGATAACCTTCAAATCATCCTGAAAATCTACGAATTCGGCCTGAGACTTAAAGAGAGAACAGCTGGAACGCTGCAGTGAGAAGAGTCCGCGCTTCTATCAAGGTAGGAAGACGGGGAAAAAGAAATAAAGACACAAAAGGCCTCCGAGGGGGAGGGGCCCGCGAGGAGCCGGGCTGAGGCCAGGGCGAGTGTCCCCAGGACAGGAGAGCCCCGTCCCGGAGAAGCAGGAGCTGCACCAACCTTCCCGGGCGGAAAGGGGCGCGCAGGGAGTTAGAGCAGGACCCCAGGAAGGCGGGGATGCCCTCGGGCTCCCGGGGACACTAACAGACACCTGCGCCCCGGGAGAGTGCGCCGAGCTCCCTAAGGGCTGCAGCGCGCACGGCGGGCCCGGAGCAGCTCGGAGGGGCTCGGGCGGCGGCTCCGTGGAGGGGGCTGCGGGGCGGGAGCAGCTCGGAGAGGCTCGGGCCGAGGCTCCGCACGAAGGGGCTGCGCGAATCCAACAGCACAAGCCCGGGAGCACAGGGCGCCGGGACACAGCCCAGGATCCGGCCTCCCCGCGGGACAGGCAGAGGCCAGGAGGGCCCAGGACAGCAAGGACGCTCCTGCCCCAGCTGAGCAGATCAACGACCCCGCCCCGGAGCCTCCAGGCCCTGTAGACGGAGAGGTCCGTAGTTACTATGGGAGCTGACTCCAGGGCTCCAGAGCTGGCCGCGGCCACTGTGGCTGTTCCTCCTGGGGCCTCACGGGGCAAACAACCCCCACTAAGCCCTGCACCAGGCAGGGGCAGAGCAGCTCCCCCAAGTGCTAACACCTGGAAATCAGCACAACAGGCCCCTCCCTCAGAAGACCAGCTAGACGGACCAGTTCCAGGGGAAGTCAAGGGACTTAAAAGTATACAGAATCAGAAGATACTCCCCCGTGGTTTTTTTTTTTTCCTTTTTGATTTCTGTTTGCTTCCCCCACCCTTTTTCCCCTTTCTTTCTTTTTCTTTTTCTTCTCTTTTTCCTTTTTTTCTTCCTTTTTTTTTTCTTTTCTTTCCTTCTTTCTCTCCTCTCTTTTTCTCCTTTTCCCAATACAACTCGTTTTTGGCCATTCTGCACTGAGCAAAATGACTAGAAGGAAAACCTCACCTCAAAAGAAAGAATCAGAAACAGTCCTCTCTCCCACAGTTACAAAATCTGGATTACAATTCAATGTCAGAAAGCCAATTCAGAAGCACTATTATACAGCTACTGGTGGCTCTAGAAAAAAGCATAAAGGACTCAAGAGACTTCATGACTGCAGAATTTAGATCTAATCAGGCAGAAATTAAAAATCAATTGAATGAGATGCCAAAACTAGAAGTCCTAACGACGAGGGTTAATGAGGTGGAAGAACGAATGAGTGACATAGAAGACAAGTTGATGGCAAAGAGGGAAACTGAGGAAAAAAGAGACAAACAATTAAAAGACCATGAAGAGAGATTAAGGGAAATAAACGACAGCCTGAGGAAGAAAAACCTACATTTAATTGGGGTTCCCGAGGGCACCGAACGGGACAGAGGGCCAGAATATGTATTTGAACAAATCCTAGCTGAAAACTTTCCCAATATGGGAAGGGAAACAGGCATTCAGATCCAGGAAATAGAGAGATCCCCCCCTAAAATCAATAAAAACCGTTCAACACCTCGACATTTAATAGTGAAGCTTGCAAATTCCAAAGATAAAGAGAAGATCCTTAAAGCAGCAAGAGACAAGAAATCCCTGACTTTTATGGGGAGGAGTATTAGGGTAACAGCAGACCTCTCCACAGAGACCTGGCAGGCCAGAAAGGGCTAGCAGGATATATTCAGGGTCCTAAATGAGAAGAACATGCAACCAAGAATACTTTATCCAGCAAGGCTCTCATTCAAAATGGAAGGAGAGATAAAGAGCTTCCAAGACAGGCAGGAACTGAAAGAATATGTAACCTCCAAACCAGCTCTGCAAGAAATTTTAAGGGGGACTCTTAAAATTCCCCTTTAAGAAGAAGTCCAGTGGAACAATCCACAAAAACAAGGACTGAATAGATATCATGATGACACTAAACTCATATCATTCAATAGTAACTCTGAACGTGAACGGGCTTAATGACCCCATCAAAAGGCACAGGGTTTCAGACTTGATAAAAAAGCAGGACCCATCTATTTGCTGTCTACAAGAGACTCATTTTAGACAGAAGGACACCTACAGCCTGAAAATAAAAGGTTGGAGAACCACTGACCATTCGAATGGTCCTCAAAAGAAAGCAGGGGTAGCCATCCTCATATCAGATAAACTAAAAATTTACCCCGAAGACTGTAGTAAGAGATGAAGAGGGACACTATACCATACTTAAAGGATCTATCCAACAAGGGGACTTAACAATCCTCAATATATATGCCCCAAATGTGGGAGCTGCCAAGTATATCAATCAATTAATAACCAAAGTTAAGACATACTTAGATAATAATACACTTATACTTGGTGACTTCAATCTAGTGCTTTCTATACTCGATAGGTCTTCTAAACACAACATCTCCAAAGAAACAAGAGTTTAAATGATACACTGGACCAGATGGATTTCACAGATATCTACAGAACTTTACATCCAAACTCAACTGAATACACATTCTTCTCAAGTGCACATGAAACCTTCTCCAGAATAGACCACATACTGGGTCACAAATCAGGTCTGACCGATACCAAAAGATTGGGAACGTCCCCTGCATATTCTCAGACAATAATGCCTTGAAATTAGAACTAAATCACAACAAGAAGTTTGGAAGGACTTCAAACACGTGGAGGTTAAGGACCATCTGCTAAAAGATGAAAGGGTCAACCAGGAAATTAAGGAAGAATGAAAAAGATCCATGGAAACTAATGAGAATGAAGATACAACCATTCAAAAACCTTGGGATGCAGCAAAAGCAGTCCTGAGGGGGAAATACATCGCAATAAAAGGATCCATTCAAAAACTGGAAAGAAGTCAAATACAAAAGCTAACCTTACACCTAAAGGAGCTAGAGAAAAAAAAAGCAAATAGATCCTACACCCAGCAGAAGAAGAGAGTTAATAAAGATTTGGGCAGAACGCAACAAAATTGAGACCAGAAGAACTGTGGAACAGATCAACAAAACTAGGAGTTGGTTCTTTGAAATAATTAATAAGATAAACCATTAGCCAGCCTTACTAAAAAGAAGAGAAAGAAGACTCAAAAATTATGAATGAGAAAGGAGAGATCACTACCAACACCAAGGAAATACAAACGATCTTAAAAACATATTATGAACAGCTATACGCCAATAAATTAGGCAATCTAGAAGAAATGGACGCATTCCTGGAAAGCCACAAACTACCAAAACTGGAACAGGAAGAAATAGAAAACCTGAACTGGCCAATAACCAGGGAGGAAATTGAAGCAGTCATCAAAAACCTCCCAAGACACAAAAGTCCAGGGCCAGATGGCTTCCCAGGGGAATTCTACCAAACCTTTAAAGAAACCATACCTATTCTACTAAAGCTGTTTGGAAAGATAGAAGGAGATGGAATACTTCCAAATTCATTCTATGAGGCCAGCATCACCTTAATTCCAAAACCAGACAAAGACCCCACCAAAAAGGAGAATTACAGACCAATATCCCTGATGAACATGGATGCAAAAATTCTCAACAAGATACCAGCCAATAGGATCCAACAGTACATTAAGAAAATTATTCACCATGACCAAGTAGGATTTATTCCCGGGACCCAAGGCTGGTTCAACACTCGTAAAACAATCAATGTGATTCATCATATCAGCAAGAGAAAAACCAAGAACCATATGATCCTCTCATTAGATGCAGAGAAAGCATTTGACAAAATACAGCATCCATTCCTGATCAAAACTCTTCAGAGTGTAGGGATAGAGGGAAATTTCCTCAACATCTTAAAAGCCATCTATGAAAAGCCCACAGCAAATATCATTCTCAATGGGGAAGCACTGGGAGCCTTTCCCCTAAGATCAGGAACAAGACAGGGATATCCACTCTCACCACTGCTATTCAACATGACATTAAAGGCATTCATATTGGCAAAGAAGAAGTCAAACTCTCCTTTTCACTGATGACATGATACTCTACATAGAAAACCCAAAAGCCTCCACCCCAAGATTGCTAGAACTCATACAGCAATTTGATAGCATGGCAGGATACAAAATCAATGCCCAGAAATCAATGGCATTTCTATACACTAACAATGAGACTGAAGAAAGAGAAATTAAGGAGTCAATCCCATTGACAATTGCACCAAAAAGCATAAGATACCTAGGAATAAACCTAACCAAAGAGGTAAAGGATCTATACCCTAAAAACCATAGAACAGTTCTAAAAGAAATTGAGGAAGACACAAAGAGATGGAAAAATATCCCATGCTTATGGATTGGCAGAATTAATATTGTGAAAATGTCAATGTTACCCAGGGCAATTTATAAGTTTAATGCAATCCCTATCAAAATACCATGGACTTTCTTCAGAGAGTTAGAACAAATTATTTTAAGATTTGTGTGGAATCAGAAAAGACCCCGAATAGCCAGGGGAATTTTAAAAAAGAAAACCATATCTGGGGGCATCACAATGCCAGATTTCAGGTTGTACTACAAAGCTGTGGTCATCAAGACAGTGTGGTACTGGCACAAAAACAGACACATAGATCAATGGAACAGAATAGAGAACCCAGAAGTGGACTCTGAACTTTATGGTCAAGTAATATTCGATAAAGGAGGAAAGACTATCCACTGGAAGAAAGACAGTCTCTTCAATAAATGGTGCTGGGAAAATTGGACATCCACACGCAGAAGAATGAAACTAGACCACTCTCTTGCACCATACACAAAGATAAACTCAAAATGGATGAAAGATCTGAATGTGAGACAAGATTCCATCAAAATCCTAGAGGGGAACACAGGCAACACCCTTTTTGAACTCGGCCACAGTAACTTCTTGCAAGATACATCCATGAAGGCAAAAGAAACAAAAGCAAAAATGAACTATTGGGACTTCATCAAGATAAGAAGCTTTTGCACAGCAAAGGATACAGTCAACAAAACTAAAAGACAACCTACAGAATGGAAGAAGATATTTGCAAATGAAGTAACAGATAAAGGGCTAGTTTCCAAGATCTATAAAGAACTTATTAAACTCAACACCATAGAAACAAACAATCCAATCATGAAATGGGGAAAAGACATGAACAGAAATCTCACAGAGGAAGACATAGACATGGCCAACATGCACATGAGAAAATGCTCCGCATCACTTGCCATCAGGGAAATACAAATCAAAACCACAATGAGATACCACCTCACACCAGTGAGAATGGGGAAAATTAACAAGGCAGGAAACAACAAATGTTGGAGAGGATGTGGGGAATCCTCTTACACTGTTGGTGGGAATGAGAACTGGTGCAGCCACTCTGGAAAACTGTGTGGAGGTTCCTCAAAGAGTTAAAAATAGACCTGCCCTACGACCCAGCAATTGCACTGCTGGGGATTTACCCCAAAGATACAGATGCAATGAAATGCCAGGGCACCTGCACCCCGATGTTTCTAGCAGCCATGTCCACAATAGCCAAACTGTGGAAGGAGCCTCGGTGTCCATCGAAAGATGAATGGATCAAGAAGATGTGGTCTATGTATACAATGGAATATTACTCAGCCATTAGAAATGACAAATACCCACCATTTGCTTCGACGTGGATGCAACTGGAGGGTATTATGCTGAGTGAAATAAGTCAATCGGAGAAGGACAAACATTATATGGTCTCATTCATTTGGGGAATATAAATAATAGTGAAAGGGAATATAAGGGAAGGGAGAAGGGTATGGGAAATATCAGAAAGGGAGACAAAACATAAAGACTCCTAACTCTGGGAAACGAACTAGGGGTGGTGGAATGGGAGGCGGGCTGGGGGTGGGGGTTAATGGGTGACGGGCACTGGGGGGGGCACTTGACGGGATGAGCACTGGGTGTTATTCTGTAAGCTGGCAAATCGAACACCAAGAAAAATAAATTTATTGCATAAAAAATATTTTTGAAAAAGAAAAAAAAGGAAAACCAAATACTAAAAAAAGAACAACAAAAAGAAATAATAGAATACCTAATTAATCTTACCTTAAACATTAAGTGGAGAAATTTGCAAATCAATAGATTTTAAAATTTTAACAGATACTAATCAAAAATACAATAAATGGGGATCCCTGGGTGGCGCAGCAGTTTGGCGCCTGCCTTTGGCCCAGGGCGCGATCCTGGAGACCCGGGATCGAATCCCACGTCGGGCTCCCGGTGCATGGAGCCTGCTTCTCCCTCTGCCTGTGTCTCTGCCTCTCTCTCTCTCTCTGTGTGTGACTATCATAAATAATAAATAAAAATTTAAAAAAATACAATAAATGGATGCAATAAAAACAAGAAATGGCCAAGGGGGAGTTTTGATTTTCACTCATCATACAGAGGTTTGCATTTATTTATTTTTTAAAATATTTTATTTTATTTATTTATTCATGAGATACACACACAGAGAGGCAGAGACACAGAGGAGGGAGAAGCAGGCTCCTCACAGGGAGCCCTATGTGGGACTTGGTCAGGGACCAGGATCATGCCCTGAGCCCTAGGCAGATGCTCAACCACTAAGCCACTCTGGCGTCCCAGAGGTTTGCATTTAAAGAAGAAAGCCAAAAAATAAAAAATAAATAAAGAAGAAAACCGATTGTTAAAAATACTCTACTTCTCTCTGTTTTTTTTTTTTTTTGTATAGATTTATTTGAGAGAGAGAGAGAGAGTACAGAAGCACATGAGTGTGCATTGAGTGGGGAAGGGGCATAGAGAGAGGAAGAGAGGGAAGCAGACTCCCTGCTGAATGCAGAACCCAGTGTAGGGGTTCAACCCCACAATCCCCAGATCATGACCAGAGCTGAAATCAAGTCAGATACCCAAGCAACTGAGCCACCCAGGTGTTCAATAATACTCTAACTTCTGAAGGCTCTATAGACAGATTCTTCAGAGTGCAATTATTACAGTGTTCCAAACCAATAAACCACTCCAAGTAGACATTTATCTTTTAGTGGCATGATTTGAACTGAGTAACAAACATCAGAACATTTTCATCACCCCAGCTTATTTGGATTTTGAAGCTAATGCTGAAAGCATGAAGTTATGTTGTAAATGAGAAAGTGGCACATACTTAGGAAAAAGCTCAGAGAATCACCAAAGTAGGGCCTTCTAAGAGCCTAGTTCCTATAAGGAGGATTTCGGGTTCCATACTGAGCCCATGTAGCACACCCAACACTCAAGAGAAAGAGGCCCAGTTAAAAGCTAACCCTGTAGCCTTGTACATACACTAAGAGCTGCTGTGGTGCTGTATACACTTGAGCATTAGCAGAGAGTTTTGGAAGTGTCCTACTTCTGGTCCATTTGCAACTATTAAGCAGATCCAGATTACTTGTGAAAAAGACCTTAAATCAAAGACACTCCCCAAGTGAGTAGTTTCTAAATGATGTGATAGCAGTGAAGGAGAAAAAGATTCTGCTTCCAATTTGGCTCAATTAATTTTGTCTGGTGCAATAGAATGGGGTGTTTGGAGCTGGCAGGGAGTGAGTGCTGGAGTGATAAAATCAAAATAGGAAAAAACCCCACACATTTTGCCTTAACAAAATCACTGTTAACTTTACTGAGTGCTAGAACAAACGCAAGAAGACACAGTGTAAGTTCAATATAGAAGGATATGTCACTCACCACTCACTGCATTCTGAACTGACTGTCCAGGGTCTGGAGATCCATTGGAATGAACTGGTAGAGCTGGAATAGTCTCAAGTATAGACTGTGAAACAAGGGAAGATGAACACAAGACATTTTACCATATAAATACAGGCCACCCCACATTTCAATCTGATTTATATTCTGCAGGTTACAAAAGTTCTTTTCACACAAAGCCATTCTTGATTTCATACTGGGCCTGCACCTGATTTTCTGTTCCTGTGTTCAGTCCAAACCTGTATAGCTCACACAAGTTTCTCAATGGAGAACTTATGTCAAGGTCAGGGCAACTGTGTCTTCTTAGCTCTTGAGAATTTGCTGCTCATATCCCTCCTCAAACGTAAAAATTAAATGCTTGATGTCACATGGTTTGACAATTACAGTGTTATTCTCGATGTGGTGGGCACACGTGTTGGTCTTAAATCCCAGGTGATGACATAGCTAGATGGCTAATGGAAAGGACTGTGGGGCAAGACTGCTGGGATTCTAGTCCAGGTTCTTACTGTGTGACTTTGAGCAAGTCACTCGAGTTTGCTATTGTTTAATCTCCTAATCTGTAAAATGATGATGATAATAGAACATATGAAGAGGTATTATGAATTTTAAATGGCTTATCCTGTATAAATCACAATAAGCAGTATCTGATACACACTGAGCACAATATGAGGGTTGGCTATTTTTTAAAATTAACATATTGACTCCTCCATGACAAAATACAGAGTGATCATGACTACCAAAAACTTTAAAATGTTTTCTAGTTCAGTTTCTAATTTGTTACTTTCTTTACCAAGATACTGCCAAAGCACTGTCCTCCCCTCCAATATTATAAGAAGTTGAATGTCTTTTCTCTTTTTTAAAAAAGATTTTATTTGAGGGAGACAGAGGTAGAGATAGAGATAGAGAGAGACAGAGGCACACCATGCATGAGTGGGGGGAGGAGCAGAGGGCAAAGCAGACTCCCTGCTGGTTCAAACCCAGGATCCTGGGATCATGACCTGAGCCGAAGGTAGATGCTTAACTCACTGAGCCCCCCAGGTGCCCCAGAAGTTGAGTATCTTTGTAAAGCCCCATGAAGCTAGTCAACTGCTCAAGTCTGGAGGGTATTAGTCAAAAATTGATACACAAATCCTGCCATTTCTGTCAGTATTAATTTTAATGTGGGAGTTATTATCTATGAATGTGTGATGATGAAATCCTGCTATTCAATCAGAAATCTTTTATGTACTACTCAATATAATGTCTGTTCATTTTTCCTGAGTCTGATGTTGCTTCTTTTATTCTCATATTTATTTAGTAATAACTGAACATCTGCTTCATGAAAGATCCTTTATCATATGCTACAAATTATACAAAGGAGTCTCAAATTCTGAGCCTTGTGTTCTCTTTTTCCTTTTTTATTTCAAAGGATATGATACACTCCTGATTGTGTAAAAAATCAAGTAAATACATGTCAATTATTAAACACAGATTTCCAATTACTATAATTGGTAGAAGAATGAAAAGACACGAAAAGGTCTAGAGCCATACAATTCATTGTCAATCAGATTTTTGGTAGCCCTACAAACTAAACTACAGAATAAAGATTACCTATACACTAAAATCTTTAAAATGATATGGACCACGTTTCAGTAGTCTTCTCAAGTTAAAAAAAAAAAAAAAGCTTTCTCAAACTTTGAAATAACTCACCTATGGGAGACAACTCTTGAAAACCTAGAGACATTTATCTACAGGATGAAACTGATGGTTTGGGATGCTTAAGCTTGCTAAATGTCAATTCCGTAAGCTGTGAAGTATAGAAGTGTCCATCTGCTGAGTTGGTTTACTTGGCCTCTAGCCAGCCTTCTGGACTGAAGGAGTGTACCTGCCCTTTGTAATGTAAATTATTCTGGGCCTATCTTAGAGGAGGCAGAAGTTTAAATTGTGATCCCTGTTCTTGAGCTATTATTTACAATGAGGAATATAGAGTAACATTTATGGAACAATGTTAAAAAACAATCAACCTAATGCTAAGAGCTAATTTCTACAACACAACTATATGTTTACTGGAGGGTAATGGAGAGGAAAGAGGTGCAGCCTGGAAGGGTTTCACCCAAAGGTGGATGAACCTGAGCTGGAACTCAAAGCATGGTGGAGAAGACTTACAGAAGCAGAGATGGCTGGCAAAAGCATTTAGGCCTGAAATGGAGGTATACACATTTCAGCTACATGGCATTCTGGAGAGACTGGTGTGCCAGGAGTTGAGACAAGGTATTAGAAAAATATGAGAAATATTTTGGTCAGGATGGTCAACTCAAATTATTAGAAGGCTTGGAAAGCCAGGTAGAGAAGTCGAGACACTCATAACAGTTAAAACAAAGCAGAGCAAAACAAAGGAACATTTCATGTGTTAAAGCATGAATATGATGAAGGAGAAAACTACTAATAGATGGACTCTGAGTTCTGAAGTAGGTTGAGTGAAAAGGTTAGGTGCTTGGTATTAATAGTTTTAAAACATCCACTCACCCATTAAACAATGCTAGCATTGTTTAAATTTTTACTAGTTATTTTAATATACCGGAAATATTAATGCCACTCTCTATTCCTGATAATTCACACTTCCTTTGCTTGTCCATAACAGATCCTACCATTTCCCTATGTGTCTAAACACAAGAGGCTGGGGCTTCAACTAGTAGGGAAAGGCAATGTTTACCAGCCAATGGAGCTTGCTCTGTTGCCCAAATCATGCAGCACTGGGATTGGAGAGTAAAATATTTGGGGGATGATTATTTTAAATTCCAACCTGTAGAAGGTTGGTACTACCTGCTTGAGTTCTCTCAAAACTACATTTTGAGTGTATGACATTTTTTTTCACATGAAAGAAACACCATACCAAACATTTTCCACGTTCATTACTTGCAGGAATAAGTCACTGACTCAGAAGATGCTTCTGACCTTCCTGACTAGCTGCTTTTCTTCTCAAGGTTTGAATCTATGTGTTATAATTTTATGTATAAAAGCTGCTTTGAGTTAATACAGATAATAAGGTTCTCTTTCTTCCCTTTCTGTACCTGAGATCAGAACTGATAAATCTACATCTTGCCAAATTCCCCAGAGGCAGATGTTTATTTTTTAAATTGAAGTATAATTAACATACAGTGTTACATTAATTTCAGGTGGCAATATACTGATTCAACATTTATATATACTTTTCAGTCTTTATCCAGATAACTATACTCCTCATCCTCTTTATCTATTTCATCCATCCTCCCACCCATCTCTCCTCTGCAATGCCACTTTGTTCTCTGTATGTAAGAATCTGTTTTTTGTCTCTTTTCATTTTGTTCATTTGTTTTGTTTCTAAAATTCCACATATGAGTAAAATCATATGTTGTTTTTCTCTGTCTTACTTCACTGAGCGTTACACATCCTGTAGACCCACCCATGTTGTTGCAAATGGCAAGATCTCATTCTTTTTTATGGCTGAATAACATTCCACTGTATATATGTATACAACATCTTTATCCATTCATCTATAATGGACAATTGGGTCACCTCCATATATTGGCTACTGTAAATAATTTTGCAAACACGGGTGCATATACCTTTTCAAATTAGTATTTTTGTCTCCTTTGGGTAAATACTCAATACCTCAGAGATAAGTAAGTCACATTCACTGACAAATATGCATCAACTTTGAAATAAAACAAACAATATTACAAAATATATCCAAATGTGAATTTAAAGGCATTCCAATAATATTGTGGATTAAAAATGAAATCACATGTGAAATTATAAGCATTATAAGAAATTTAAGACAGTAAGAGCATTAAATTCCAAAAATTCATGATAAAAGATAAACTATTATTCAGATTAATTCTTAACCTTAAATGCAAATAAAAAAATTTAAAATAAATGTTTATAATCCAACAGACTAGAAAAAATTATACAAGTAGAACTAAGAATGAATGAAAAATCAATAAAAATTAAATAAATACAACAGAAAAAGTATACCTCATTAATTAAAGGTAGTGACTTCCTAAACAGTACTGCTGATATAGGCAACTATAGCTCTAATTGGGATAAAAGACATAAATATTAGAAACAAAAGAGGAAAAATAGCTACCTCACAGAAAATTTAAAAATTATACACCTAAATAAGTGTGCATATTTTTATATATGTGTGTGTACACAAACATCATATATTTAAAATGCTAAATAAACTGAATGTTTTGCTGTAATGAATATACATTACCAAAACTCATACCATTTAGGATAGAAAGGAATATAACTACAAAACCATATTCACTGAAAAAGTAATCAAAACACTGATGCCAGGCCTTGGAGGTTTCATAAAAATATTACAATACAAACTTAAATATAATGGAGTTTATAGATTATATATTTACACCAAAGTTTAATATATGGATCCAAAATACTGAAAAAAGTTTCAAAGTCTTAACATATTCATTCCAAGATTAGTATAACTCTGTAACAACAAAAAGAAATTATATATAGGCTAACCCCGCTATTAGAATCCCACTAATAGTTGTTAAAAATGCGAAAATAGTACAATATATTACATAATGTAATAAAAGAATAATATTAATAAGTAGGGTTTATTTTAGCAACAAAATTATAATTCAATATTATAAAGACTTATAAACAGAATATTATTTTTTAAGATTTTATTTTATTTATTCATGGGAGACACATGGAGAGGCAGAGAACAGGCAGAGGGAGAAGCAGGCTCTCTGCAGGGAGCCTGATGCAGGACTTGATCCCAGGACCGTGGGATCAGGACCTGAGCCAAAGGCAGATGCTCAACCACTGAGCCACCTGGGAGTCCCTCAACAGAATTTTCTAAAGAAATTGCTTAACAAAGAAAAATATACTTATTTTAATAGATAACAATTACTTTATATAATTCAATCTCTATTCCTGATAAAAACAACTACAAGACTCAGAAACCTAGAACTAGGAAATCAAAAACTTATCAAAAGATCCCCATTAATTATTATTTAGTGTAATAAGTGATTGTGGTCAGTCCAAAAAGACAGGGAAAAGAAAATAAAATTACTATTTTAAGGACTGAGTAAAGAAAACTTTCACTATTTCAGATTATCCGCACAAATTACAAAATCAAATGAAAAGTTCTTAGAATTAAAAAGAGTTTTCAGAAAGGAAGCCATAAAAGATAGTTTTGTGAGAAACAAAAAAAGATGATGATGAGTTTCCGTACCAAGGAAGTAGTTACTTCACTTTACAAGACAAAATCCACAGGTCTCCGATGAGCATGTAGAGGGAGCATGTAGGCAGAATTGAGGCAAATGTTTGGGGATGGTGCCCTGGGCTCATGGTACCACCAAGCTGAGACACAATACAGGATCCTGTGCAAAAGCCTTATTACAGCAGGAGTCTCCAGTCACAGGGGCATCACAGCACAACTGTGAAAGGTCTATTTTTTTTAAAGATTTTATTTATTTATTCATGAGAGACACACAAAGAGAGAGGGAGGCAGAGACACAGTCAGAGGGAGAAGATAATAATAAATGGCTCCATGCAGGGAGCCCGACGCGAGACTCTATCCCAGGACTCCAGGATCACCCCCTGGGCCAAAGGCAGGCGCTAAACTGCTGAGCCATGCAGGGATCCCTACAAAAGGTCTATTATAGGTAACTCCTCACTTCAGTAGCTCTCAGAGTTTGTGGATGACTTACTTTGTTTCCATCCATCAGTAAGTAGAGTGCACTCGAAATTATCTAAAACAGAGACATGCTCCCTCATTTGCATGTCAATGCACAATCTTAAATAGGAAAGTAGCAGCTGAATTTAGAACCTGGTAGGTCAGTCACTGTGAGTAAGCCCTAGCCCATCTGTGCCATAACCTGTAGGGCTATTGATAAGTTACTCATTGACAAATGTCACATTCTTTTGTGGTTCTTATGTTATCACTGTGTAACAAAGCAACCTCAAAACCAAAAATCTAAAAACACAACAGAAAAGCTCCTTAACCTGGGGCTAACAGCATTGTCTCTCTGAACAATGAGGAATCTACTGAGTGTGCTGTGCATGTGAACATCAACCATCCTTTGTCTGCAACTGGAAGACAGATAAGAAACTACTATACAGAGGTTCATGTGAATGTGCCTCCTCCAATTCCATGACTGATGTGCTTTTGCCAGCCATCAACTTGCCATCGCAAAACCAGTATCATTGAACAGGGTCTCTCACTACTTCCAGGGCACCGTATCACCTCCTGCCAGAGCACCTGCACAGAGACACCAAGTGGGGATGTCCAGTGGTTCAGCAGAGGCGGGGGTGGGGGTGAGAGAATGATAAGATTTTCTGACCAAAGAAAGCTACAAGTTCTGTTACTCAAGGCCAAGACAGTGAATGTGTCTGAAGTGGAGGATGTCTATGAGTGAGTCCTGCCTGAGATCTAAGATAGTAACGCTTTCAGTATCAGGATGAAGGCTTTCTAATCTATCCTGCAGGGAAAAAGGACTTCTGGGTTAAATGGCAGAATAAGGCCGGATTATTGGTGTGAACACAGCCAAGAGGACCAACAGTAACAGACTCCTCTCCAGGCTTGATATATGCAGAGAACATCCTTTGGTTTCTGACTACAGTGGTATTAATTTATGGAGTTCTTTTTGAAACTGAGATCTAGTCATTCCCCAGTTTTGAGTTTCCTACTTCCTATTAAAATGTCAGTGGGTCTCCTGGAAGCTGTGGTCTCTCTGCAATCTCAGTTCAAGTTTTTCTTATCTGTTTTAAAGAAATTGCTTCTTCCTGCCTTGAACTTTCAACTTTGCCCCAATATGCAACTATTTGGGCATGCGATGACTTACCACAGAGCCACTCCTGGGAACTACGAAACTCCCTTCTTCATCTTGGGACCCACCTGACAGGGTGGTACTGTTGAGAGAAGCATCATCTGTCTAAATGGAAAAATAAAAGTACTATTCTTATTCAGGTGAACACTTCTGTGTATTACACTATGTATATATGTTTAGATGTGTGTGACACTATACGAAGTTGTGACTGCCTGAGCAGGGACAAACGTATTCAGTCCTTTAGAGAACACTGCTATGAGTAGCTAAATGCCAAGCCCTTTGACAGACACACTGGCCCCTGTGGCAGACACTGCTATTGTCTGCCACAAACTCCTTTTTTCCTTAACAATATCTTTTTTAGGGGATCCCTGGGTGGCGCAGCGGTTTGGTGCCTGCCTTTGGCCCAGGGCGCGATCCTGGAGACCCGGGATCGAATCCCACATCGGGCTCCCTGCATGGAGCCTGCTTCTCCCTCTGCCTGTGTCTCTGCCTCTCTCTCTCTCTCTCTGTGACTATAATAAATAAATAAAAATTTAAAAAAAAACAATATCTTTTTAAAAAATATTTATTTATTTATTTATTTATTTATTTATTTATTTAAGACACAGAGAGAGGCAGACACACAGGTAAAGGCAGAAGCAGGCCCCCACGAGGTGACTGATGTGGGACTCAATCCCAGGACCCCAGAATCACACCTTGAGCCAGAGGCAGAGGCTCAACCACTAAACCACCCAGGCATCCCTCCTTAACAGTATCTTGGTTTCATTCCAGGAGTTAAACCAAAGAACTTCATTTCTAGGCATATTCAGTAACATGATAGGGAATAGCATAACAATGACCTTTAGGCTGTCACCTCTAAGTTGAAATCTTGTGTTAGTAAATGTGTCATTTTGAGTAATTACTCCTTGGATTAGATTTTGTTCCTTACAAAATGGCTTCTTTGCAGCTAGGAGTGATCATGTGACAAGTGTGTTCAATGAAAGGTAAATGTAATTTTACCAAGAGTGCTTCCACAACAGCTAGGCTTTCCTGACCAAAAGGAATAGGTTCAGCTCATGTACATTCATGATAGCACTCCAGGTGACAGCCTAGTGTTGCCAGCTATCTTATTTGAATAAGGATGATGTCCATGGTAATGGACAACAGAGGTAGAGGATCAAGCCCACTTGGGTTTGTGCTAAGGCATCATCTAATACCTTGCCGGACTTGGACCACCAAATCTCCATGTGAAGCAAAACAACTCCAACCCTTCCATTACATATGGCCAAACACGTCTAATCTTAGTTTTGAAACACTCCCCATGATTATCTTTTGCAGTGCCCAGAATTCAGTAGCAACAGTATCAGGTTATGTTTTTCATTTATAAAGCTAGAAATAAGAGATTTTTTTAGTGGGCAATGGCTTCACTAAAATTTAAGACATAAATATTCTTTACTGAAGGAAGCTTATTACAAAGCAGAATGTATTTGATACTTATGAAAACATACAGTATTTTTTTCTTTTAAAAAAAACTGTCATTTGGGGCACTTGCGTGGCTCAGTCACCTAAGCACTATGGCTTAGTGATCTGATCTCAGGGTCGTGAGATGGAGCCCTGTGTTGGGCTCTGCATTGGGCATGGAGCCTGTCTGAGATTCTCTCTCTCCCTCTCCCTCCATTCCCCCCCTACACTTTGAATTCTCCTGCTCTAAAAACAAAATAAAAACCTATCACACACCTTGCTTGACTACATTTTCTACATTTCTTATAGACAATAGGCTACTTTATTATAAAATGAACAAGAGTCTTTTATTGAGAGAGAGAGAGAGAGAGAGAGAGAGAGTGAACGCACACACATGAGTAGGGGGAAGGATAGTAGGAGAGGGGAAAAAAGAATCTTAAGCAGGCTTCACACCCAGCATGGAGCTCACAGCAGGGCTTGATCTCACGACCCTGAGATCATGACCTGAACTGAAATCAAGAGTAGGGACACTTAACTGAGCCATCCAGGCGCCCCAAGAACCTTTTTTTTTTTTTTTTTTTTTTTTTTTAATTTTTATTTATTCATGATAGTCACAGAGAGAGAGAGAGGCAGAGACACAGGCAGAGGGAGAAGCAGGCTCCATGCACCGGGAGCCCGATGTGGGACTCGATCCCGGGTCTCCAGGATCGCGCCCTGGGCCAAAGGCAGGCGCCAAACCACTGCGCCACCCAGGGATCCCAAGAACCTTTTTTTTTAAGGGACAAATAAAACCTGAGAACTAGTATAAGAAATTTAAGTCAAGATAGCGGACTGAGGGATCCCTGGGTGGCACAGCGGTTTGGCGCCTGCCTTTGGCCCAGGGCGCGATCCTGGAGACCCAGGATCAAATCCCACATCGGGCTCCCGGTGCATGGAGCCTGCTTCTCCCTCTGCCTATGTCTCTGCCTCTCTCTCTCTCTCTGTGTGTGTGTAACTATCATAAATAAAAATTAAAAAAAAAAGATAGCGGACTGAAAATTATCTACTCCCCTCCCATTTCCATCCCTGAAAGTGGCAGAAAACATCTATGTTTTTAAAGGAGGACATTTTTGATAGCACTGGAAACCAGCAAAGAATTCCACAGCAGACCACCTCAGAAATTTCTAGATAAAAAAACAAATATAATTGGTTTGGTAAAATAAAACTCTCTACCCAAGAGTAGCATAAAAGAATATTTCTAGAGAGGGAGGAGAAAAACACGTAATACAGAACTGTACAAGGAATAGAAAGCGTCCCAAGTAAATAGTTAAAAGTGTTTGCAAAATAGAAGCCAAGTGGACCAGCCCCTTAAATATGTAGATAACCCCTAAATACAATGCTGGAAAATCTCCCAAAATGTAGCCCAAATAAAATGAACTAATTGCCCTGAGGGGTGGGTTCCCACTGTGAATATACGGATCTAAGAGAGAAGGAAATCAGCAGGCAGGCCGCAACAAAAGTCATGGAGGGGAGATTGAAATGAAACCAATTTTGCCTGGAAGTAATAAATTAGGTTCTTCATCCCTGTCACCGGTTTGGCATCTGGGAATAATGTTTACTATCTGCCTGCTCTGACACCTCAAAGTCAAGTACACCCCACTTATAAGAACATACAATCAGTAATCTTGGCCTTTGGGAAAACTGATCTGCTCAAGTGCAGAGGAAGCATACAACAATTTACTAATCAATTAAAAATTAATAAAGTCCTGTACTATGATTCTACAGAGGACTTTAGAGATCACAGTGCTGTAGTTTCACCTGACAGTGTGCTGGTACCTTCTACCTTGTAGAACACTTTCCATCCTATCCTTCCTTGGATGGAGTATCTGGTGGGTCATCTCACCCTCCTGCTGTGACAGTATTCTCAATGGATGGCAGTACAAGAGAGGGACTGGGGAGCTGGACAGGAAAAAACACTCTGGATCCATAGTCTTGGTCAGAAGCTCTCTCTGCACTGGAGGAAAAACCTAAAACCTGAAACACCTGCTGCACCGTCCCCCACCCCCATCAGGAGATGTGCACTTCCCGGACCAGATGGTTCTCACTTAGGCAGACACTTCACTGTTTGCGTCACTTATTATTACACATTCTCAAAGCTGACATTTCTCCACACAAGATGTTTATATTTGAAAAATAACTGGAAAAAACTAAATATTTATATCTTAGTTGATACTGAGAATATTGAAAAAAAATTTACATGGTAGTCTGTTATGTATGAATTCACCCCTGAGGACCAAGCTTTAGTTGACAACATCCTTTACTCAGGATACATACTCAAAAATTAGTTTTTGTTGTTGTTGTTTCTCCCTATAGATGTTTTAAAAGATAGAATTTAGTTATTGTTTATTTACCTACTAAACTATTCCTTGCTGATTTTATGAGCTATTGGTAATGGCCTATGGGCGGCTGAGCTATGGGTGATGGCCTGTAGGTGTCTTTTTGACCAAAAATTTAAATTACATTGCATCTTTACCTCATGAGAAATGATAATACACATCCTTTACATGAAATGAATGTTCATGGTGGCATTAGGCATAATTGCTCAAAACTGGAAACAATCCAAATGTTCATCATCACGTGAACAGATATACCAATCGCAGTTTATTTATGTAATGGATTACTAGTAGTATTAAAAGAACCAAACTACCATCACATGCAGCAAATGGATAAACCTAAAAGTTACTGTGAATGAAAAAAGCCAGACACAAGAGTGCATTTTGTATTTATAGTTCCACTTTTATGAGAGTTAAAACCAACCTAAGGTGTTAGAAATCACCAGAGGGCTTGCCTAGGCAGAGGAGGACAGTCGGTGGAAAAGTCCTCAGAGAGATTTCTGCAGTCATGGAAACGTTCTTTCTTTTGACGGACTTACACTTTTTTGATGGACTTGTGGTTATATGGGTAAAAACATATGTTTGTACATACAGACCTAAAATACATGCATTTATTGTTTGTAAATTATACCTCAGTAAAAAACATAAAATGATTTGATATCCTAAAAAAATTAATTCTTCTTTTCAGTGTGATTTAAGGTACTATTGCTACTATGAACCAAGAACCCACAGGTATACTAATGGAAAAAAAGTTGTTCTTGAGAAATAAGATTTTGTTCACTGAAATTTAGAAAAAGAGTGAGACAAGCTAAAGTAAAGAACTACTAATCTGGAAAATAAAGATGAAGAAGAACAGCAAACAGACTAACATGAGAGCAAATTTAGGAGATATGAAATTCAGGGGTGCCTGGGTGGCTCAGGTGGTTAAGCATTGGACTTGATTTGGGATCAAATCTCAGGATCGTGAAATGGAGTGCTAGGCATGAAGCCCGCTTAAGATTCTCTCTACCTCTTGCCCTTCCCTTCCCCACCTCCCCATCCCCTAAAAAAAATAAAGGAGAAGATACTGAAATTCAATTAAAGCAAAGCAACAATCATCTAACATGTGTTCTAGAAGGGTGGAGACACAGAAAATGGGAAGAAAAAGATTACTTAAGACATAAGAGAATTGAGTGTTCAGAAACTGGAGGGAATGAAACAGGTAGAAAGAACCTGCCAAGCAGAGGCCAAAATGAATGAAATAAAGGGAAGATCCTTATTAAAATTCATAACTCCAGGAATAAATTCAAAATAAATTAAAAATTCAAAAATTGGCAAGGTAAACAAAAAAATTTATGAAGGAGTGAGTTTCAGGCAACTAAAATAAAAGAAAAACAAATAATGTTAGAGTGCAATAGTCAGTCAATGATCAATAAGAAATTCTACTATAAAGGTTTTCCAGGACAGCTAAGATTTTCTATTAGTAATGGTCAATCAGTTGACACATGTTCCTATCAGGAATATCAACATGGTATCTAGAGTTTGCTAACCATCTTATAATATAAGGATTAAATCTGCATGCTATGTTGGCAACATAAAAGGGAAAAGTCAGAAGTTCATGCTAAGGTTGGAACTGCACTGTCTTGCAGTTGTACCAGCACTAGTCTACCCACTGTTAGTTTACCCATTTTGTGACTAACACAAATTCCTTCTTGTTTAAATCAAAGTTCTTTAGATTTTCTTTTCCATGAAGCAAACATAGATATAACTGACATGTTTTAACACATGCAATGATTCTATTCTGCAGTGAGTTATGAATCAATAGCAGGAACAGCCATTTGATTTTCACTTAAGACACTGGAAATAAATGAGGTTAACTACTTTGTTTTTTGAATAAACTAATACCTCAAATGACTAATTCATTTATGTAGCCTGCACATTTTATTTATATATAAAGTGATTTGCAGAGGTTTGTTATGATGGTAAACTGGGTTGTAAGAGCCCAAATTCAGTGGCATCTGCAATTTAGAGTCAAGGGTGAATCACATATAATACATAAATAGACTATTTCTTTATTTTAAGTAGATTATCACAAAATAAATACTGTGGATGTTAATAAAATCGTAAGATGTAATACGGACTCTTTTTTAAAGGTTTATTGAGGTATAATGTACAATTAACTGCAAATATTTAAAGGGTAAAGTACACAGTTTGAGGTTGTTTTGAGAAATATGTAGGCCTGTGAAACCATCACTACAGTCAAAAAACAATGAACAAAACTGGAACCACAAAAATGTTCTTATACCCTTTTGTCAATCCCTCTTTCCTTCCTGTCCTCATCCACTCTCAGGTCCCCAGGTAATCACAATCTTCTTTCCCTCACTATAGGTTAGTTACATTTTCCTTAATTTTACATAAATTGAATCCCTTTGGTCTGGATTCTTTTACATGGCATAACTACTTTGAGATTCATCTACATTGTACTTATCAATAGTTCATTGCTTTGTATTGCTGAGTAATGTTCCGTTTTATGGATATACCAGATTTGTTCATCCATTTACCTGTAGATAAAAACTGTTCCCAGTTTTGGGCTATTATGCTAGAAAACATTTGTGAATAAGCCTTTGTATAAATATACATTACATATGAGGAGAATAGTTGGGTCTGTGGTAGGTGTATGCACAACATTTTAAGAAGTTGCCAAATTATTTTCCAAAGTGGATGGACCATTTTATATTCCCCCTAGCAGTGCAGGAGAGCATCAGTTGCTCTGCAGCCTTAGCACCAGTTGATATGGTCAGCTTTTTTCATTTTATTCATTCCACAGGTTATGTGGAAATAAATCACCGTGGCTTTATTTGCATTTCCACACTCACTAATGATACTGAACACCTTTCATGAGCTTATTTGCCATCCACATAGTTTTGGTGAGGTGTTTATTCAAATCTCTTTCCCATTTTAAAAGATAAGAAAAGACTGAACAAATTTCTACTACTGGAAAGCTCAATGTATATTCTTGAAAGAGAAAAGATGATTTATTTTAGGAAGTAAAGATTTGCGTGGTTAAGGGAACTAAAGGTTAAATACCAGCAGGGAGCAGATTGGGGATAATTTTTAATAGCAAAGGAAATTTTATATTATTTCTATAAACAATTGGGGTTATATTCTGGGATTAAATGGGAAAGTTACATCAGATGATCAAATCACTCTTTCCTAAAATCTAATACAGTGAACAAAACATAACAATAATAGGAAAAAGGATTCCCAGCAACATTTACATTGAGTGGTGACTGGACAGAGATACTCTAGGAATAATATAAATTATTTTCTATAATCCAACCCCCCTTCTCATCAAAAAACCACTAATGGGGATCCCTGGGTGGCGCAGCAGTTTAGCGCCTGCCTTTGGCTCAGGGCGCGATCCTGGAGACCCGGGATCAAATCCCACGTCGGGCTCCCGGTGCATGGAGCCTGCTTCTCCCTCTGCCTGTGTCTCTGCCTCTCTCTCTCTGTGTGTGTGTGACTATCGTAAATTAAAAACAAAAACAAAAACACTAATGAAGAAAATAAATGAAGAAAATTTTGAAAAAGACAACTATCATATCCAAATTATGAGAGAAGACAACCAAAAGTGTGAGTAACCACACTTTCAATATATGCATATCCTAACAAAGACTCTCCCAACACCATGTAAAGAAGGAGGAGAGAACCTATTAGATCCACTATCCTGTCTTTTGCTATCTGGGAGGAAGTTAGCAGAAGGAATATAAGGACGGAAAAAGAAAAAATAAAAGAAACTATGTAACTTCCATCAAACCAGAGAAAGGATAGCTTACAATAGGAAAGCACATAGAAACTTGTGAGAAAAGGCTCTGGGCTGAACCATAAATGAAATCACCTCTCCTGGTTGGAAATGGATATAAGCTCCATCCTCCTCCTCAGGCTTGCCCACTCTGCCCTCCTCCAAGTCATGTGGGAGGAGAAGTCCAGATGCGGCAAGTAGGGAGATGGGAAAGGAAGGGAGGCACTGGACACCTGGGGTTACAGGTATGGTCAGAAGGCCTGATGTTCCCCTTGCACTGGATAAGCAATAGAAACCTGAGGACACCTGCCTCTCCTCCAACAGATTAATGGAATGAATACTCTTAGGAGAATTTTTTTTTAATAAAAGAAAAAAGGTAAAGAAACTAGATCTGCCCCAGAAAAGGCACATAATCATTGGTTTTCTGGGTATTTATCTGTTTTTATAGAGAATGCAGTTATTTGTGGGTTTAACTATTAAGCTTGGCTTTATTTACTACTGAGTATTTTCCTGCAAATTGATTAAAGGTAGACAGGTACGTTGAGAGCTAGCTGTAGCTGTCCAGCCATCTTAATAATGGTGAGCCATTTTGAAGTTTTGCTTGATTGTCTTGAAAAAAATGACTTCTGCATTCATCCTTACCCCCAGTTTTCCTGCTGTAACTTACCAAGGAACCATTTGTTTTGATAACTCCTGGCAGCTCTTTTTCCTCCTGGGTGCCATCCAACTGAGCAGTATGGCTGTCACAGGGGTCACTTGGCTAATGAGAGAAATGAAAGTCATTTGTATCCAGGCATATCTGTCCCAACATGATTGTTTATTCAATTATACATTACACATGACTCTACAAATGTATAGCCATGTGGTGATAAATGGGAGTTAATGACTACCTGGGCAACGGTAATGGCATTCACCAATTCATCCACAATTATCCTAATCCTTATATACGCCGTGTTTTACAGAAGAAGTTGGGTCTCAAAAGCAGACACTGTTAATTGCCTGCCAAAATCCACCTTCCTTTTCTTCTTTAAGTTACGAGTATCATGATCTGCTCCAAGATACTATGCTAAACTAAAAAGACAAAAGTGTGATCATATATCTATGACCACTGAGATACAAGTAGAATCCTACTTGGTAGAGCATCTAGGAAGGCTAATGTTTTCTTGTTAAAGTGGATCTATCCACTGATGCTTCTTCATCACATGGACATGGTGCCTGAGATGCCCAGATACTCTATAAGCATTAAATATTAGTCCATATGCTAAGTGGTACACAATGGAAAGATGAAAAAGTTGGTAGATCCATGCTAAAAGATATCAGCCACACCAGCCTCAGACTTCTTATTTTGTAAGGACAATAAATCTCTAATTGTCTAAGTCATGAAGCTTACTGATTAAACTATGCCACTTTAAAATCAGACTTTATGACTTTTTGTATGATTTATAAATCAGCAAGAGTAGTCAGTTTTTTTCAATTAAGAAACTGGAAATACATTGGATTGACAATCTCACAAATACATTATGATTGAACCAAGTATTTCACTCCCATTCACTGAATATTGTAAAAGCTCTAATTTTCATTATGCAGCAAGGGTATTTTGGAGACTATTCTGATTGTGATAGATGGCATTATAGGTCTTGTGCACATAGTTTAAGGGTTTTAGCAGCATTTGTGATACAATGGCATTCCCCTAAATAAAATGCAATTATTCTATTCCATGACTGAAACAATATTTTGCCAAATTAAACACATTGGATATTAATGAAACCACTAAATTCTACATGGGATTTCAGAAACTGTTATTTTTCACCTGCTTTTCCATATTTTCTAACTTTCCCTCAAAGTGTATGCATTATATTAAGAAAAACAGACATCCGTATTGAAGTGGAAACAATGCTAAAGAGGCAGTACAAGAAACCATGTCAGGACAGAGGACTGAGAGCACACCACTCAACAATCACTCAGAATTAGAGAAAGGTGTGTATTGTTATAAGAACAGCTGCAAATGGCACTGGAAACCACTAAGGTGTCCTAATAACAAGTAAGAAATTCTTGGAAGTTCCTGGGAAGTAAAATGTAAACAATTTATTTTGAAATTATACAGAACTTAGCCTAAGAACAGCATAAAACAACACTGCTGGCAAGGAAAGGATAAATCTACAAAAAGCAAACATACAAACAACCAAGTAAGCTCAGTGTGAAAATTTCAAAGAGCAGGAATGGGCTTTAGCTCAATGGCCACAATAATTTATCACTGAGTGTTTCCTCAGTGGAGGGACTATAAAGACCTCCCAAAGGCTCTCTTTACACTGAAGAGCAGGAAGTAGCACTGTGGTGAAGTGAACCACCTGCCTTGGGAAGTCGTCCAGGGTTGAGATCAAAACACATCTCAATATCAGATTATTCTGGACCTCCATGAAAGTCAAAGAAGGAAGAAAAAAAGGAAAACATCAGTTTTGTCTTGGATAGCAAGAAATGAAGTCATTCAACTCTTTCCCTTTGTTATGTGCTCGTGTGTGTGTGTGTACATGTGCACATGAGCGTGCATACTCACCCATATGTACAATTAAACGAACTTCCATTCACACACTGTTCACATACCTTACTGACTTACACAGTGCCCAAAATCAGCCCTCTTATTCAATAAAGAATCCTTTGGGAAAATATCTATATCATGGCAGAGAAATCATATAGCAACAACAAATCCTAAGTCATTGATGAGTAAATTTATCCCATTAATAAATATAAATCAATCACCAAACACCATCCATTGGAGAAAATTAATGTAATGAAAAAGCCACTCATGGCCAAAAATCACCATTCTAAAAAAGTACAGTGATAAACATTTCGGGGAAAAAAATAAGGTAAGGGAAAAGGCTTAAAATAATTTCAGAGAGATTTGAGAAGATATTATAACATAAATCAGGACTACCACAAAAAAGGGGAAGTCAGTGAAAAAGAAGGAGTTCTTATGAATTAATGGTATGACTACTGAATTAAAAAATCAGTAGAGGCTAAATTATAACCACTCATGGCAAAAATGAGAATTAGGAATCTACTAAATGATGTAGATAAAATCTACTAGCATACAGAGCAGATAGGAAAAAAGACAAGGAAATATAATAGACAATTTGAGAACTATGTGAGTTTAACATGAAGGCAATGAAAGGAAGAATAGAGAAAATGGAAATAATAAAATAATTAAAGAAATAATGGAAAGAGAATGCCTGGAACTGAAATAAAAGGAACCTTCTTCAGAAATGAAAAACTATGTGTTCATCATAATTTTTTAAAAAGATGTCAGGGGCACCTGGGTGGTGTGGTCAGCTGAGCATCTGACTCTCAATTTCTACTCAGGTTGTGATCTCAAGATCATGAGATCATGCCTTGTGTGGATCTCCGCGCTCAGTAGTCTGCTTGGGTTTCTCTCTCCCTTTGACCCTCCCTACAACCCCTCCACCCACAAACACATGCACTTGAGCTCTCTCTCTCTCTCCCAAATATATAAATACATAAACCTTTAAAAACTAATAAAAATAAAAAAGAATTTTAAAGAAAGGATGTCATATCCTGATGACAGTTCAGGGCTCCAACACTAATGATATATGTAAAAGGCTTCCAGAAATATAAAAATGAGAGAAGGATACAAATAAAGGAATAAGATTTAGAAAGACATCAAACTTCTCAACATTAACATTATATGAAAAATCAAAGAGATTAATATTTACAAATTTCTGAAAAAAATTAATATATAGGGTCCAGCACTTTGATACCAATTTAGGATTTAAGCTTTTTTTGGATATGAAAAATTTAACATCCACAGATATTTCTTTCCAGATTTGCTCAAAGGATAAAAGGCACAATCTGCTAAGAAGATGTAACGTTTTGTAAAATATATGATTATGCCAATTAATGTTTGTACTATTCTCTGTAGTCACTCTACTATGTTAGCCCTCACCGTAATCCTGGGAGGAAGAACAGTACTCGCTTTCTCATTCTAGAAACTGGCCAGTAATTCAGAGGTAGGGCTGGAACGAAATTTTAACATTCTCTGCCGTCTCACTGCAAGATTTCTTCAAATGTGTTTGGCACCAAATATGCCCCTTTATTCACCTTTAAAAGGTGATAATACCTTCAGGGAACTGAAATACACAAAATAGTGATAAAAGGGAAAAGAAACAAAATAAGCCTAGACTAATCATGAGAGTCCATGGCCAGGGTGATGTGTTGGGGGTGGTATATAAGACTTCAAGTAAGGTTCACTCTTCCATGCTGCCTTGACAACTGGTAAAGGTGGAAGAATAAGTGGTCTAACTACAAGCTCCCCTCCTACTCTACTCCCTCATATAAGCTCCCCTAGACAGACAATCCTCCTTATCCAGGGGACCAGAAACAATTCCTGCTTATTCCTGAGTAATGGGCTTTGGTTCCCTGTCAGCTGGTAGAATTATTCAAACAAGCCAATCATATCTTCCCGTGGGAACCAAAGGGTACTTCACTCTCTTGATACTACAAAGCCTGCTTCCTACAGCCCCTGGTTATTCACTCTGTTCCCAAGTGCACCCAATATGAGGCTTTGTGCAGTGTCCTCCTCCCCAGGCTGTGAGAACATGTGATAATAAATTGCTATTGATGTTGTCTGTCCATTCTTGAGTGTCAAGCCACCCCTATAACGCTAGCATGGGAATCATTCCCTAACCCACAGGGTGAAGAGGAGCAATCAAAATAGTGGACAGAGTCAGCTAGGAAAAGGCTGATAGAAATCCACTATTTGAGAACACTCGTATATACTCTGCATGCCCCTCCTCTGGCTGGTCTGAAGGAATAAAGAACAGACAGAGAGGAATCACAACTTGAATCAAGAGTCTTGGTTGGAAGTAAGGTATGTAACACTCCCTACAATGCAGGAGCAATCTAAAACCTGAGGACACTTGCTGCCAATTCAACAGAAAGAGTAAAGACTTCTAACTAAATGGAATTAATACTCTTGTGAAAAAATAATGAAATCAGAAAAAAAAAAAACTAGTGACAAAATTTATAAAATAGGATTGCTCACAGTCCGGATGACCACATTCAACCTCCAGAACTTGACCTAGCCTCAAGAAACAGAGAACACAACAGAAACTGGCCACATCCAAACCTTTAAGCAAAATCTGGAAGGAACTAAGAGCTAGCCTGTGTTGGGACATTTTTTTAAGAGACAGAATGTCCCACGTAAAATATGGGTAAGATGAAAATAAACAATATAGAAACTAAAGATCATTATTCATTAGACCAAGGAAGAAAAAAAAAACTAGAGTTCAAGAGAAGGTAACATAAAAGTCATAGCAGAGGAAAACCTCTCATAGTAAATTTTCTGCTGTCATGAGTCCAAGTGGAGGCAGATGTCAGTAAGCCCAAGTCCTTCTATGTCTCCTACTCTGGGTGCATCACTTCAGTAAGAGGAACCAGGCCTTATGCCAAGTGGTACAGGTAATGGCATGGGATTCATCTCACAAAGAAAAGCCTTCTACTGAGATCATGTCCTTGGCAGTTATGAACTCAGGTTAGCACTCTTTGAATCTCTGTACTACAATAGACAAGTAGGTTCTGATGAAATGTGTTTACTTCCTGTACTAGATAGTGTACTTTTCCCCATTTACTGTTACACATTTAAGATGCTACAGTGCTGTCTCCCATAAAATATTTACAATGAGAAAATAACTGAAATGCCAAAGTATTTCTTATATCGAGAATTAAATCAATATTGAAAGATACATGCAGAGCAGCATAAGACATCCCATTAGGTGCTCAACAAAAAGAACAAAAGTTTAGCTGATGACCTCCCTGACATGTTGACTTCTGGCTTGGGCTGGAACTGTAGCTGTGGTTTTGTTACTCAGGTGCAGACAGGCCACGTAGTTGTTTGTGGATTAACTAATTAATTATTTATTCCTGAGTTTAAGAGTCTCTGTCTTCTTTGTTATAAGGCAAGTAGGCATTTCACTCAAGTTTTCCTGGCTGCCTCAAAATAATTCCTTTTTCTAGCCTCCTTACTCTTAAGTCCCCTTGCTTTATCTTACCAGTTGCCCATTTCTGCAAGGAATGGCTGATATCCCTTCTTCATCCAGGGTCACATCCAAAAGAGGAACTGGTATACAACAAAAATCATCTGGCTATTAAGAAAAATGAAAGTGCATTTTTATTCAGGCATATTATCCCCAGGGTAATTGTGCGTTTAATTATGTGTTCTGCAAAATATGTGTACATTCACACAGATTTGTGGAGAGATCCACAGAGCTGACTGCTGTGCACCAACACTGAGAGTCCACTACATTTAGGCATAATGATAGCACTGGTCTCTGTGGACAATACTATTAACTGTTTACTCCAAACCCAATCACCAGGCTTCCTTGAAAGGATCCTGATTTTTTTTTTCCGGGGATTTTTGTGTCCAACTAAAAAAAATGTTGAATTCTTAGGTTCTCTTGCAGCTTAGATGATCACATTACATTTCTGGGCAATTAAAGGTAACTAGAATTCTACAGAGTAGTATTTCCAGGAAACTAAGGTCAGAAAGACAAAGTAAGTTGGTACAAGTCCCAGGAATGGCCAGGAACATGAATATAGTGCTAAGAGTGGCCCAACAAACTTATAAAGGATGAAGGATATATAGGAATGACAAAATAGAAAGCTAGAAGGAAGACGGATTCATGCTAAAGCAAAGGAACACCTACCTTTACTTCTTCCTAAGGAGAGAAAAATAAATCCATATTTGTATAACTCATGATTTCTTGGGTTTTCTGTTACATGAAGTAAAATGTGTATATAGGCAATATAATTGTTTTTAAAAACAGGGTGCATGATGGGGCTCCTGAGTGTCTCAATCAGTGTCTCAATCAATCCATCTATTGATTTTGGCTCAGGTCATGATCTCAGGGTCATGAGATCGAGCCCCATACTGGACTCTCTGAAAATTTTTATGATTTATGAATGCATTCTCTCTCAAACAAATAAATTAAATAAATAAATGCAGGGTGCATGACTATATTTATGCAATATGTCAGTCCCACCTTTGACTAGTTGTTTATCAATTACAAAACTGGAAATAAATTAGATTGACTGTGTTGCTTAATTGAATGTGTTACTGAGAAACATTTGATTCAGATCTTCAGAAACAAATGTATTTGGGCACTGAAATTCTGCTGATGATGAATAGTAGTACTGTAGTCTTTGTATTATGTATCCAGAGGCTGATTTAGTGTATAATAGCTCTGCTAACACAAGGGTTAAATATTCTATTCCTTTATGGCTAGAATTCCTCTGAAAATTATATTTACTGGATATTTAATTAAATCATAAAATTTTATTTAGTCCTATAGAAGCAGTCATTTTTTTTACCTTGCTTGCCCATATTTTCCAGTAAAGATTATGTACTATTTTTATAATAATAAGGAAAAACACATTTTTTGGAAGGAACAAATAAATACTACTGAAGAATCAGCATAGGAAAATTGGATCAAGATAGCGAAATTCACATACCACTTTCTCCTCCCCCACCAAATCACTGAAAGTGTCAAAAGAGATATCTTCTTCAAAGAGTAGATCTAGAAACCACTAAAGATTTCCATTAGCAGAACAGAAATTGTTGGATGTTCCTGGAAGATAAAAAGCAAGCAAGAATGGTTTGATAAGGGAACCTCAGCCTGAAAAAGGCTACAAAGAAAAATGTGTAGAAGATAAATGCTGATCTAGAAAAAACACATATCCAGTATGAGAGTAAAAAGAACAGCAAGGCCTCCCCAATTCTGAAGATAGTGGCCAGAGTAACTGAAGAATGTTTTTCTGAATAAAGAGGCCAGGAAACCTTCCCTCCTTCTAATACTAAACAGCAGGCAGCAGCTAAATGTGATTACAGGATAAAACCCAACAAGTAGTGACAAAATGAGTGCCTGCCTTAGAGGTGGGAGGGGAGTTGTCCTAGTGTAGTGGTCCTGGACAGAAAATTAAATTGCCCTTCACTGGAACTTTCTAAAAGAATATAGATAGAAGTAAGACAGAAGTATAAAAAGGAAGCCAGGTTTGCATGAAAAGCAAATAAATTATAGTTCTTTAGGATTATCATTACTTTGGCACTGATACCGTATTCGTTTGCCTTAAAGTGAAGTGTAACAGCTGACTGTCCACTCACATAGGCCCAGAGTACATCCAGTAGGAGAGTTTCAGGAAGAAAATAAGTCTACATAAGTCTGCATAGGAAACATACAGTCTTTACCTATACTCAACAATCAGTCCATCAATCAACCTAGTCCTCCATTAATAGTAATCAACTCCCAATGATCAAAATCAACCAAATAGGGATGCCTGGGTGGCTCAGCAGTTGAGCATCTGCCTTTGGCCCAGGGCGTAATCCCAGGATCTGGGATCCAGTCCCACATGGGGCTCCTTGCAGGGAGCCTGCTTCTCCCTCAGCCTGTGTCTCTGCCTCTCTCTCTGTGTCTCTCATGAGTAAATAAATAAAATCTTTAAAAAAGAAAAACAACCAAATAATAGTAATGTAATGATGCCAAAAATAAACAGATGACCCTGAAAAAAAACAGTAATTCAAGGAAAAGACCACTTTGGAATTTAAGGCTTAATTTAGTACTTGGAGAATACAAAGAGGCTCCTGCAGCCAAGAAACAAGAGTAGATCATTAAAATACAGAGGAAGTCAGGGGAAAGGAAAGGCTTCAGGAAATTAACAATATGGCTATTGATTTTTTTAAAAAATTAATGAAAGCCTGAAGTATTGATACCACTATGGCCAAATTACTGTTATATTAAAAAAAAAAAGTTGTTGAAGGGATAGCCAAGAATGCAGAACAAACATACACACAAATAAAGCTTAGAGAACAAGAAAGCATTTAAGAGATACTGAGGTTCAATCTAAACAATGTAACAGTCATCTAACAGGAGTTCCAGGAGATAAGTGAGAAAAAGAAGGGAATAAATGCTGGTTTTAAATGTTAGAAGACAATATGTAGAACCTAAAGAATGAATGAGCTCTCATGTTGAAAGAGCTCACTTAGCAATGACCAGGATGGATGTTTTAAAAAGGTAGAACTGGTAAAATTGCAGGGTTCCAATAATAAACATAAGGTTCAAAAGGCTTCCACATCTGTATACAAAGGAATGATCTGTAGAGATACAGTGCTTTCCCACAGCCAACAGTGCACGAAAGAAGACAATAGATAAGTATCTCCAAAATTCTAGAGGAAAATTATTCTCAGCATGGGATTCAATGTGCAAAAAATTAAGAAAAGACTACCATAATCTACATATTTGTCTTTTAAATTACTAAATTCAAATCTTCACGAGGTAAGTTCACTGAGTCAGATTCCTACGTCTAAGATTAATGCAAACTCACCTTATGAAACCCATGATGTTAAATCATTAAGAAAGTGAAATGGAAACTTCAGGTGACTGTTTTATTAATGCACATAAATTATGACAAAGAAAGAAAGAAAGAGTAATAGAGAATGGGGAGTGGGAGAAACAGAGAAACACACACACACATAGAGACAGAGAAGGAAGAAGGAAGAGAAGCACACAAAGAGACAGACCAGGACAGGCAGGTACTTTGGGAAAGAGAAGGAGGGAGGGAGAAATTGATATTTATGCTGTCAAATTCAGATAGGAAACTTAAAAAGTTCAGGTACATTTCTAAGAAACTTCCAAGTCTACTTACTTGTAGAAGCAGATGTTGAATTTTTGAGGAAGAAAATCCATGAAGATGTTTATCAAGCCTGATATAACTGTATATATACCATTTTTTTTAAAGCTAACTTTATGTGGTTTTTTACATTTTTGATGAAGAATAATCTGAATGCTGAATCTGCATATACAATACCAGGCTTTCACTGACTTTCAAATCCTAAACTTCTCAGGATAGCACAAGACTTCTACTCTCTGGAATATATGGACTTCCTTTCACCCACAACCACTCTCCCCGCTACACATTCATTCTCTATTCATTCTGGAATGGAGCTTCAGCAGCAAAACTGGAAGAGAGAAGACGACGATGGGCAGGAGAAAGAACACTCAGGGCCATTCCCCATGCCCACAACAAACGTGGTCCTCTTTCTGCCTTTGCTGGAATTAAATACCAGTTTCCTGTACCTGCATGTTACGGAAAAATAAAACACTCTTCATTCATTTTTATGCTTAAAGCCCCAATCAATAAGTGCCCACTTTACATTTCCCTTCAGGGTCTAAGTAAAAGAGGGAGGAACACTGTTTCTTTTTCTCTCTTTTTTTTTTTCTGGTACGTGACTAGAAGTCCAAAGTTTTGGGAAACCTAAAGATACCTGTCTGCATCTTCTTGAGTACCTGCAAAATTCAGAGAAACTATAGATACTCTCCTATTTTGGAGTTTGCTAGGGAAGAGCAAAAAATCTTAGGTTGAAGTAGCTGGAAATAGAAATGGGAAAGGAAGCATGTAGACCAAGTTCTTAGGACTCTCCTGAAATGATCTGGGAGATAAATGTGAAATGACTCAGGGAATTTAAATCAGCAGGGTAAACTTTACCAAAGAAAAGGTTGGCCAGGACTCACAAGGCCTAAAGCCCTTGCTCTAGTTGTGGGTGTCACTTTTACTCAACTACAACTATAGAAAATCTCGCCTTCCACAAAGATACAGGTTTCAACTAGGATGAAAGTTGGAAGACCACAGAACTAAATGCACTGCCACAGTACATAATTTTGTACAATATAAGGTTCTCAAACTGTACTATTCAATACATTAGCTATAATCCATATGTGGCAATTTAGGTTTAAATCAATTAAGATAAAATAAATTAAAATTTCAGTTCCTTATTCTCACTAGCTACATATAGGACACACACTGGCTGTCCCTATTGCACAGCACAGAAATCATTTCCATCACTAGAAAGATCTAAAGGACAGTGCTATTCTAGGGCATTATTAGCACAAATGCAGCAGTTAACTTGGAAATATGAGCTAACCTGGCAACAACTCAGTGTGATTAATATATCTAAGAGAAGATATGACTTACAGATAACAACCTAAAGTAACTCAAATTGGAGGTGCCTTCAACCAAGCCTGCTACCCAATGTCCTTGACGTTTTAATTTATGTCATTATTGGCGTTACATTTAAAAGGTAAGAAACATAAATCCGAATGATTAACTAACTTGCCCCAGGCAACTATCTGTAACTACAGCACAATATCAAGTTTCTTTTTTTTTCCTACATACTAATTATCCCCAAAGTTCCAAGAATTCTGTCTGCATAGAACCTAATATAGGATCTTGCACGGAGAATGTATACAGTATTACTGGTTGCATCAGTGATGCAGTCATTGATTTCAACGATGCAATGAGTGAAGAAATAAATGAGTGGGAAGGCAGAGCTAACAGTAAAACAGACAAAGCAATAGGTAAACATGACCAACAGCCTCAGAAGTAAAGTTGTGGCCATGGAATTGGTAAGGGTAAGCTGGAATTTCAACCAGGCATTTCTCAGAAAACATGTGATGCTTCCCTTATGGTTTTCTGAATCATTCTCTTGCCCACTTAATTAATGCTGGTATCTTTCACTTTAAATTTGTTTGAAAATAAAGGCTACCCTAATCACTCTCCCACTCTAACCTCTTTAAAACTAACCAGCTGAACTTGCTTAGAATACTCTGGACCTATTTCTCTGTTCAGAGAATTTCCACCCAGTGCTAGATTAAGTAAATGCTCTGTGCAATCTATCCATAAAGATTTGCTCCATTACCAAGTAAGTTATTCTCCAACTCAACAAAGAAGGGAATAAATTTAGTGGTGAGAGAGACTGCTATAGGGGGACAAGGAATGATTGCCTAAGTTTCAAATCTGCAAAATTTTGCACTCTGCTGTATGCTTTAGTTTTCTCTAAAAGAGACAAGATGACCAGCTTTTTCTAATATTTTTTTCATGTTCTCCTCAAGCCAAAAATTTTAAGCCATGTTCATTACTTACAGGAGATTCGCTGACTCCAAAGATATCTCTGACATCCCGAACAGATTGTTTGTTCTTTTTTCTCATGGTTTGAGTGTAAGTATTATATCTCTTTTTCACGGCAGCTGCTTGGGTTCGAGTTAGCGTAGAGAGCAAGGCTTTGCCATCCTCTTCTTCATCACCCGAAATCAAGGTTGATAAGCCCACATCTTGCAACCACTCGGCTTCAAGTTCTCCTTCTGAAAAATAACATTACCAAGAAAAGGTTAGAACATTCTGCATTTGGTTAGATGATGTGTATATCTAAGGCCTGTGCATATCAGTGAGTAGGAAGTGTCAGTAAACACTATACTAAGGTCATCTTGGACCCTGAAGATATCCTAAGTGAAATAAACCATACAAAGATGAATACCATATGATCTCACTTCTATGTGAAATCTTAAAAAAAAAAAACCACACACACACACAGGCTTATAGATTCAGAAAATAGATTGGTGGTTGCCAGAGGTGGGAGGTAGGATGTAAGTGAAATAGGTGAAGGGAGCAAAAAGTACAAGCTTCCAGTTATAAAATAAGTAAGTCATGGAGATGTAATGTACGCATTGTGACGGTAATACTGTACTGTATATTAGAAAGTTGCTAGGAAAGTAGATCTTAAACACTGTCATCACAAGAAAAAAATCTGTAACTATGGTGATAGATGTAAATTAGACTTATTGTGGTGACGATTTTGTAATGTATACAAATACCAAATCATTATGTTGTACACATGAAACTAATAATATGTCATATGTGAGTTATACCTCAATTAGAAAAAAAAAAGACCATCTTTTTTTCCGGAGTAATCAGAGTAATCCTACAGAAATAAATGAAAAACCAGTATATTTTTTTAAAGATTTATTTTTGTATTTGAGAAAGAGAGGGTGCGTATGAGTAGGGGGAGGGGCGAGAGAGAGAGAGAAAGAAAAGCACACTCCTTGCCAAGTGCACACGGAGCTTGACACAGGGTTCAATCCTATGACCCTGAGATAGTGACCTAAGCCAAAATCAAGAGTCAGACACAACCAAATGAGCCACCCAAACACCCTGTATGATATTTTTTAAAGAAGTCAAATTTTAAAGTATTTTCTAGGAGAGTAAGGTTAATTGGTAAATTTAGTAAGGTGATTTTCTTTGCCAGAGAGTTAGATATAAGCCATATCTGGACTTCGATTCTCAAACAATGATGAAATATGAATATTTAAACTAAAACTGTAATAGAAAAAGGGTGGTTTCGTAGTAACGAAAGGGTTTTTTAATCACTCAAATGTTGGTTCAAATCCCAATGCAAACATTTACTGGGTGAATGAATGGCTTTGGAAAATTTTTAGATATCTCTAGGCTTTAGTCCTATTGGCAAAATTGAGGTATATAATGAGATGTATTAGGTTGCTATGAGAATTGTTTTATCAATTTATTCATGAGAAATGGCAAACAGTCTGGAACAGAGGATGAATTCAATAGATATTCATACTCTCTTGCTTTTCTACATAGTCTGAACATTAGGTAATCTTTACTTTTTTTTCCCAGAAGGCAATTAAAAAAATTTGAAATTCATCTAATGAGGGTTAATTGCTATTATAAATTAGTTGTGCAGAAATAATTTTAAAAATTCAGAATAGGGATCCCTGGGTGGCGCAGCGGTTTGGCGCCTGCCTTTGGCCCAGGGCGCGATCCTGGAGACCTGGGATCGAATCCCACATTGGGCTCCCGGTGCATGGGGCCTGCTTCTCCCTCTGCCTGTGTCTCTGCCTCTCTCTCTCTCTCTCTCTCTCTGTGACTATCATAACTAAATAAATAAAAATTTAAAAAAAAATAAAAAATAAAAAATAAAAATTCAGAATAACAACATTAGGTAACAGAAAATCCACCACAGATACATTTCTGGGAATTATGCACTACCTAAATAGATTTGTTTAAAGAGCAGATTAGATTGATTTGTAAATAGCCTGTCAAGTCATAACTCCAAGACTCTCGGGACTCTGCTTAAATTATTGCATCACTGGTATACGAACAAAGCCTTCTAAACATACTTTACAGGTCCAATTTCTTAGCTAAGCAATCTTTTCTCTGCTATCTTGTTTCTATTGTTCATTTCCTTTATAAGCTATCCCTTTAACAGAAAATGCAAAGGTAAACATAAGCTTACTAACCCTAATCTAAAATAATAAACCTTTTAAATTAGTGAGTTATGACTGAAATCTGCCTTTACTTAAGCCTTAGATAAGATTCACTTTTTAAGACAAAATTTACAAATGTAGTTTAATATTAAAATTTTAAAAATTGGGACGCCTGGGTGGCTCAGTGGTTGGGTGCCTGTCTTTGTTTCAGGTTGTGATCCTAGGATCTCAGGATCCGGGATCGAGTCCCACATTGGGCTCCCTGCATGGAGCCTGCTTCTCTCTCTGCCTACGTCTCTGCCTCTGTCTCTCACTCTGTGTCTTTCATGAATAAATAAATAAATCTTTTTTAAAAAGTTTTAAAAATTAGATTTTTCCCCTCCACCTCTATAAACAGTAATCAAATAATAGATCCACGAAATATGAATATTTAAACTAAAACTGTAATAGAAAAAGGGTGGTTTCGTAGTACAAGAAAGGTTTTTTGTTGTTTTTTCAGGAAAGTGTCTTTTAATCACTCAAATGTTGGTTCAAATCCCAATGCAAACATTTACTAAGTGAATGGCTTTGGAAAATTTTTAGATATCTCTAGGCTTTTATTCAAAGAATAGAAGAAAGGAGAAATTGTGGAGTTAACATATGCTAGAGATGAGGATAGTCTAAATCCTTGTACTCAGACTACAGAATCTGTAGAATATACATTTTTCATAGGAAAGAAAAATGTCGGAGTAGAGATCAATGTTACTCCTGTAACAATACTAAATTATAGAAATCACAATCCTGGGTCCATGACTCCAATTTGTAAATATATAACTTCCACATAGAACACGTCTTTGAATTTCAGCTCCATACATCCAACTACCCTCCCAACATCTACTTGACTCTATTAATAATATATCAAACTCAACATGTTCAAATCTGAACACATATTCTTCATTCCCAATTCTAGGCCTCTTTCAGTATTTCACATTTCAGTAAATGAAACCCACCCCCATCTATCTAATTCAGCAAAAAATACTTTGGTAACATTATTGGCAACTCCCTCTTTTACACATCAAAACCAATACATAACCAAGTACTTCTGATATTAATTCCTTATTATTTATAAAAAATTTCCCATTTTATTTATCTCTTCTGCTCTGACCCTGGTCCAAACTACCAAAATCTCTCACCTGAACTGCTGCAGTTGCCTCCTAGCTGTTCTTCCCACTCTGGACTCCCTTTCCAACCCATTCTCCATATTGTAACTAATTTAGACCTTTCCAAATGCAAATACTAAGGCCTTCTCTAAATTAATGAAACAGTTCTTCTTCACTCTTGAGATTAAGAATAAAACTCTTAACATCTCCCACAGGCCATGAAGCTGCTAACCTTCCTATCCACAGCTTGTACCAGGCTCTCTTCACTCTCTTCTCTCTAGCAGTACTGGCTTACATTTGGTTCTTCAAAAGCCCCATGCTATATTTTGTTACAAGGCCTTGGACATGCCAATCCTTCTATTTGGTCCCCTAATTATAGGCCATTCAATATTTCAGATCTCAGTTCATATATTTATTTCTCAACGAAGTCTTTTTTCTTCCTGAACACTTCAGTCATGGTCAGGTCCTACTGTTTCCCATCTTAAACCTGCTGTGTGTCTTTTCCTTCAAATAATTTTCCCCCAAATGTATAACCAGGTACATCTAGTTATATCATTTCATTCATTATTTTCTTTCCTCCTAGATTATTACCTCCAGTACAGCAGGAAACATTTCTGCCTTTGTTTATAACTCTAACATCAACATCTTACAATGTCTATTGAACTAATTAAATCCCAATTTAAATATATAATTATTCTAAGAAAATGGATGAAAAACATCAACTTTCAAAAATGACTGTACCTATCATACATACCATTCTGTACTGAAAATCCACCAGCTTAGTAGCTTTGTTAGAGAAAAATATCAAAAAAGGAAATAAAATCTTCCAGTAAAGGTAGAGTAGCCTGTATAAAAATAACAGTTCTGTGTACAACTCTGAACTCTGAACTACATACTTAAAATAACCATTCAAGGGTAATGAAGAAGAACCAAGTGTAGGCAGAATTTTGATACAAGAAAATGTACTGTATGAGATCTGCATCTTTTGTAGATGCAACTGAAGTCATTTTCCTATCCTTACACTATAGAGTGGACAGAACACAAACAGAAAACCACAGTCTTACTTATTAGAAGAGTCAGTGGATAGAGTATGGGATAACTAAGATATCTGGAAAGTGAGAGGCATACTCCTGTTAGGAGGGAGCCCCACGAGAGAGGGCTCTAAAATCTGTGCATAAACTCTCATCAAGTCCTTAACTAAACATTAAACCAAAAAGATATATGTGAAACTCCAAGCATCCTATTGAAAAACAGTAGCCAAAAGGCTAAAATAAATGAACCAGGCTGCACAGTGCAGAAAAGATAGTGTTGGGAGAATGAGTACAACCAAGTTAACCACTAGAACTGAAATTAACTCCATTTAGAGGAAGATAATGGGATACGGTCTCTGAAACATATCAACAGCATTACAATATTACATTACCAAAGATGTTCCACTAGGGTATTTAAAAAAACAACAAAAAAAGGACTAATTTGTCAAGAGAAAGGGTGATCAACAGAAAGTAACTCTGAGATGATTCTGATGTCGGACAAAGACTTTAGGAAAAGATTCTTATGAGTGAATAAAGAATTTCAGCAAAGAAAAAAATATAAAAAGGAAACTAAAAGAAGAAATATGTAAATTATAGAACTAAAATTAAAATACATTTTTAAAAACTTGCTGAAAGGGCCTAATAGTGTATTAAGGACTTTAATAGAAAGGGCTGGTAAACTTAAAGATTACATCAATAGGAATTATCCAATCTGAAAGACAGAAAAGTATTTTTAAATATTTGAGACCAAGTGACTTGATGGGAATGTTAAGTATAATGTGTGTGTTGTATATATATATATATATATATAGAGAGAGAGAGAGAGAGAGAGAGACTTTCAGAGAAGAGAGACAGTGGGGCAGAAAAAAAGTATTTGAAGAAATAATGTCCAAAAGTTTCCAAAGCTGCT